ACAATCCCACTCACCAATTTCTATACTAAGTATAAACAACAATACACTATCTACTAAAACAAGAAACTGGGTAGGACTAGGTACTAGGCTAAGGGAACACTTGCAAGCAAGCGAAACACAGTTCCAATGCCGCCACAGATGGTAAGAAGGAACTGAAGGGGGGGGGGGGGGGGCAGGTTGGCAGGGTCATATATACGAGGGCACCACTCCAGGGGGCTCCCTAGCTGACCCGACGGGAGCTGCTAAGGGAAAAAGTTTCCTACAACCATGCACACGGCATGCGCACACCTGATTGGAATCAACGTGAACAAGCACTCGAAGAAGAATCTCTTGTTTCTGAAGTGGCACAAACTTTAGTGATAAAGGTGCTTCCTCTGTGCACGCTTAACTCAAGCAGCATTGGCACCTGGAGAATGATGCCCTCTTTGGGAGTTACTGAATTAATACAATCCTTCATTTTCTTTTCCACATAGAAATTATATGACAGAATGAACCCTCATCTTGGCACTCATATTTAGTAAATATTTGCAACTAAGCCTGGTGGTCCACAGAGCACTTCACGGTGTTCTATGTAGTTTCTTCTGTCACAAAGTGGAACCATTTGTCTTATTCAAGCAGCTGTGCTTCTTGCTACTAGCTGTAGTTCAATCCACAACTCCCAGGGTTTCCAGAGGGGTTTTTTTTTGATCAGCTAAACTCAAAGATACAAGCATCTCCCTGAACAACTGCTTTTTTGTCCCTCTTCTTTGGGAGTTTCTTTGGTATATATTCGGCTGTGGTCAAATTTGTGGACACCACCAAAATTGGAGACCTATAAAACATACAGCGAGGCAGAACTAAACTGCAAAGGGATCTTGAGAGAGGTTAGAGCAATAAGGGCTGCAGACATGAAGAGATTCAATATTAATGAACAAAAAACCTCTTCCCAGAGAGATGCCACCAAGTAGCTTGTTTTCATTATAACTCCTTAATATTGGCCGGATATATTACACTTTTACTTCATGTAACCAGGCACTATAGTCGCTGCAGGGATGACATGGATTCAAAACTGTGAGGTGGGGAGGGGAGGGGTGTCCATAATACGAAAAAGGTTGAGACCCCTCTTCCAGTCCAATCACCCTTACATGGTTTGGGACTTGCTTGCCTTAGATGCTGCCTTTTTCCCTTATGTTTCACGGCAATGGCTGAAATCAGCTAAAGACCTCTTGCTAGTATTGACAGACCTTTGAAGAATGAAGGTATAGGGGTTTTAGAATAGGGTCGCTGATAGTAACCCAAGGTTTGACAGACTATCAAAGCATGATGCAAGGCAACGTTGATCAAGCATTTGGGGGACGGATAGCTCAGTGGTTTGCGCATTAGCCTGCTAAACCCAGGGTTATGAGTTCAATCCTTGAGGGGGCCATTTAGGGATCTGGGGCAAAATTGGTACTTGGTCCTGCTAGTGAAGGCAGGGGACTGGACTCAATTAACCCTTCAAGGTTCCCTCCAGTTCTATGAGATAGGTATATCTCCATTTATTATTATTAACTGTGCACGGTTATGTTTCTTTATGACAGGCAAGGGTAATCTGAAGTGTTGTCTACTGCTGGCAGCTTCAATATTTTATATATAACATATGCCATGTGCCCAGATGTTATAACAATGGGTGTATAAACAAAATATTTACATAAGTTAAAGTAGCACTCAAGTTGAAGAAAGGTTAAGGCACGGGAGTAGGATTCAGAAGATCAGGGTTGAGTTCTGTCACAGATTTCTTGAGCGAGTCATATAGCCTCTCTGTGCATTCAATCTCCATCTATAAAATGGGGATACTAATATCTCACCACTAATGCTCCTGAATTGGGAAGATTCTATGGTTCACAACTACATGGAAAAGCCAATAAATGACATTAAATGAAATACTGAAATTCGGATTGTGTCCCACAATCTTTTATGAGAAAACAAAGGAAATCGGTATCAGATTTTCCTGAATTACAAGTTGGTTGCAAGACTGAAGCATGGCCTCATTGTCTAATTTACCTGAAAATGTGCTAACAAGGAACAATATCTGAATGGGAGCTGACAAAGTGAATATTTGTCAGCCCCCACCCTTCCTCCATCTGAACAAATCTTGTCTGTTTGAAGAATATGGGTGAAGACGTCGGTTCAGGTTCTGATCTAATTTCTGAATATAGAGGCCCATCAGAAAATTCCTGTAATGCTTGAACTTGGTCAACATTACTTATTATTTATGTGGTAATAGCCTCAAAAAGCTTAAGACAGATCAATACTAACTGATTCCTAAGGACAGTATTTGTTTTTAATGATTATGAGCTTATTGTATTTATACTTTCTGTATCTAGAATAGTGACACCTGCTACGTTTCTTTTTTACCTACACATCAGGATCCTTTATCTTAATGATGCAGAACAGCCCGTTCAGACAGTGCTGTATTGTCTGAAATTATTATTCCAGCTGTAATGAGTGAGATTTCTCTCTGTATTGGTCTGTGTTAGTAATGGTGCAGGTCTTGTGACAGTTTGTTTGTAGGGGCTGTCGTACAGCTCAGAGCTGGACAAGTGAGAAGAGACTGAGACAAAAGGCATCTGGTAGAAACAGGAAAGTGTTCTTTATTTCATGTGGCACAGCATTAGGCAGACAACCCAAGAAACAGTCACTAACAAAAATCAAAACTATTATTCCCAGGACCATTCCGAGGAATTACCCCAAACAAAGGTCTGCTGCTAACAATGACTGAGATGTCATTGCCAATCCACTCTAATCTTCTCTTACTCTGTAACATGCTTAGGCCATACCCTAGCTTTTGAAGGAGACTAACCTCAAAGATACAGTATCTTCAGACAGCATACATACTGTACATAATCACTATAGTACATTTCCCTCAAGCCATGCTAAAATATAATGCTAAGGGTAACTCTGGACAGAAGGCAGTATAGTAGCCACTCACATCTCTGAGGTAACATAATGCTGTTTCTTAGCTGACAAGGTAAGGGCCACCTGAGGGAAGATCAATATGGCTTCAGAGTCTATTTTTAAACTCTTAATGCAGAAGCAAGAGCCTGGAATGTAGTCTGCTGAGAAACAGGGTAGATACCTCTTCTCTCTGTAGCTGAAGGGGGGGGGGAGGGGGGAGGAAAGAAATCCAATTCTAGGAAGGAATAGAATTTATAGACACATTCTGTTATATTAGGAAGAGGGTCAGGAAGAGAGCTCCAAAAATACGAACATAAGAACACAATCTTTGCATTATTCATTAGGTAATAGGTGAGAGATGACTGATGTGCTAGAAGGGGAGATACATAAAGGGAGGTCTTAAACAACAAAGACATGAAGAATGGCTGATTGAAAACATCATTTTAGAGAGACAGAGTAGAGCAGTCAAAGCCTCAGGAGATTTCTTTTTAATTATTAACTACAGATTATTCTCTTGATATATTCTCTTTTCTTTCTAAATTAAGAAAATAAATACTTGTAACAAATCTGTGGGCCAAATCCTGCCCTCCACTGAAGTCAATGAGAGGGAGCCCCATGTACACAAGTTCACTTGTATTTATTTCTTGCATCCTACCAGGGTTTATGGATTGAAGGGTGAGTTAAGCCTCTACAAATTCATCTTAAATCCCCAAGGGAACGCCATCCAAGTGTGGTCAAGGAGCAAGCAACAGCAAACAGAAAAGGAAGGATTCTCTTAAATAGATAATTCATCCATGATTCAGAGCAAAAATAGAAAAGAAAACAGATCTTGAGCCAATGCTACATTTTCATTATAATTTTGTTAGCCAAACACAAATAATTTCCATTTAACGTAATTGAAACACAGTACACCGCTATAGAAAAAAGAAGCATAATGTTCTTTTTCCTTTGCTAACATCATTTTACTCAAAGGAGTACATTTTCATATTATTATCCCGTAGGCTCCCCTGCAAATTCCAGTTGTCTGCACGGCGTACTGTGGTCCATTGTAAGACAAGACACATCTACTATGCAGATGAATAAAGCCTTTGATATCATACAGATATTACTTGGGTTTTGAATATAAAAAACACTGGATTCTTTTAGACACAGAACAATACAATTTTGGATGCATTTACCACTTTTATTTCACTATGCAGAAACATACATTCACCATGTGTTGTGACGCAGCTGAGAGTGTAATGGAGACTATATCCCTTCAGTGGATATTATAACGGAATACTAATGAGTTTTCAGTGGATGTTCTGTACAGTTTAAGGCTTGGCTCTGAACTAGATAGTAAATGCTGCTGACCAGATTCTGAAATGAAACATTTTTTCTCTGAGAACAAAAGGGAAGTCAATAAAAAACCATCAAGGTTATTTCAGAGTAATAATTTTGTAACACTATAAACTAAGGAAAATACAGACTTTCTCCAAAATAACTACATATAATTTACAGGGTTAGAACTTCTGAAGGGTGACTGGAAACTTTCTGACTTTAACGCTGAACAATGCTGACAAAAAAAATCTTAAAGTCAAGTAAATGTGCTGAAATCTTTACTACCTCACAAGTTATTAAATCAGGTATGTAAAGCACATTTTGTAAGAATTTGAATATTTTGATAAGATTAGAGATTCATCATTTTTTATCAGGCAACAGTAATAAAACCAGATAAAACAAATACAAGATTCAAATTGTTTCCTGAATAAACTGTGTTATTGGCACATCTAATGTGTGATAAAACATTATACACAGTACCTCTACAGCTTCTAGCAGTTTAGGGTAATCTTCATGTACAGTATCCATAAACAAAAGGTTTGCCACCTAACAAATTTTAATATGTTTAGATTTAATAAAACGTGAAAGGCATGAACTGTTTGTGTGTTACATTAGATCACTGTTTATATTGGTTATGAACGTGCAGGTATAGCTGAAAACTTAGATATAATGAAAATTTAAAATGCTGCTTTTCTGTAAATTTATCGTTGCTTCATGCAATATTGTTTTACTGATGCTGATTCAGATTGCTTTATACGGGAAAATATCTCTGCCAGTGTCTTTATTAGCGTTTAAGATCAATTCTTCGGTACTGAAATTTTCCATGGACAGATACAAGTCAGTCAGGTTAGAACTGAGACTCCATATAGGCTCTGGTATTCCTAAGGGTGTGCATGACTGGATTCGTATGCAAGCTAAATTATTCCTGCAGGAAAGAGAACTGAGTTAATTACTTGAAACAACTGAGTTTCCCCTCTCTCTCTCAAATCAAAGGTGAAAAGGGGCTCATGTTGAATACTTCAGGTGACAACAATATTATAACCGCATGATTCCAGCATAAGTAACTGCCAACCTTGGGCCTGATCCAAGGTGCATTGGAAAGACCCCCATTGATTTCAGTGGGCTTTGGATCAGGCCACTTCACTGTTTTCTCTGAATTGATTAGCAGAAGACCATAATTGTTACTGGTGCTCATTCCTTAAGGACTGGCTCCATATTCCAAAATAAGTAGTAGTGGTCTTACTCACATTTGCTTTAGGCATTTATATTTCCTCATCCAAAGCAGGAAAGCAGTAAACTTTCAAAGAGATGCTGCACATCATACTAATGTTACTTATACCAAATGCTAGGGAATACATAGTGCTTCAAGAATATGATGCTGCTATCATTTCAGACAAATTAGACAAGCAGCCTCTTTTTGTGTGTGTGCATACAGCATTCAAAGCAGCCTATGGATGATGCTGTCATTAAGAGCTCTTGCATAGCAGGTTAGTATGCATGATATGTTTCTGCACATACAGTAAATACAATATTATCAAGATGACTGTTTAGCCAAACTTAGTTGGAGAGCATGCCTTTACTGAAGACAGCTTGACACAAGAAAAGCTGCATTATTATCTCATCCTGAGAAACAATGCCACTTTCAAACACAAAATGTCCTTACAAAATACAAGGAAGTCAAGACATCCAAATATTGACACAACAATTAATTTGGGGTTAAAAAAAGAAAATTGGACCACACAGCTTTACAAGTTTGAATTAAAACCCTAAATTGTGCCATATTTGTGCCTAAAATAGGGTAAGTAGCTATAATTATTTCCCTCCGCATTTTAAAAGAAATTAAAATTGTACCTTTAAGAACAAAATGCCTTTGTTCTTAAGTCACATATATAAACAGACAACAGATTTTTGATGGCAGAGTTAGACATTTTAGGAATACATTAAAGCATGGATGAGTAACATCCAGAGAGCCAACAAAAGCAAATTTCCATTTCTCTAACTGACATTATTAAACAAAGAAAAATACATTGAACTAAATGTGTATAATTTACATCTGAGGTAAATTCCAGAATTAATACTTGGCTCACATGGTTTTTGCAAATGCCAGTGAGAGAAATAAGGAGTTAGAGGTGAATTATGGAAGGAGAATGCCTTTGCTGCATGCCAGCCCAGTGAGTGCCTAGGAAAATCATCTATTCCTCTTACCTGTGGGTCAATCCTCCCCATCTTCTGGTGTGATTTCTGTCTCTTTATGTACCACTACTTTGGTCACTGACATGTCAGGGTGCTGCTCTTTGGCCTCTTTAATTGCCTGAGCCAGCGCCTAGCCCAAGGAAACCACAGAAGGGCAAAAACAAAAAGGAGGTGGAACATGCATGATCAGTAGCAAGGTGGAGAGATTCATGAGAAATTACACAATTTACAAATGAGGAAAAATGATTAAAATATACTATCATTGATTTAAATACTAATCCAGTTTAAAGCATGCCAGTATGAACAGTGTTTTAAAGCTTAAGGTTAAATATTCCCTCTTTGGTAGTTTTCAGTTCAGGGCAGCTTTTCGTAGCTTATATACTCTACCTGATCATGGTCAATATCGGCATCTCCTGTGATGACTATTCGTTTTTCAATTCTTGTCTCTGAAATGCCTCCTTTCACAGTCTAAAAGTGAGAGGAACAAATACAAATAAACACACTCATTTAAAAGTGGTGCTGCTTGTTCAAAGAAACACTTCCAACATATGAAGAAAAGCATGGATATACAGCATATCTACACGCACAACAGGAGAAACACAAAGCCTCTGCTCCCACTTAAGTCCTATTGTGAGGGCTCTTAAATGGGGTGTGGCCTTGTGTGACTCCTTTGCCTAGAGATGAATTTCACCCAGATAGGCTTAAATCCTGGCCCCAGTAGGTATGTCTGCACAGCAACTAGACACCCATAGCTGGCCTGTGCCACCTGGCGCGGGCTTGCGGGGCTTGGGCTATGGGGCTGTTTTATTGCTGTGTAGACTTCTGGGTTTGGGTTGGAGCCTGAGGTCTGGGACCTCCCACCCCATAGGGTCCTAGAGCCCAGTCCCCATCCTGAACCCAGAAGCCTGCACAGCAATCAAACTGCCCCGCAGCCTGAGTCGGCTGGCATGGGCCAGCCGTAGGTTTTTCTTTGCTGTGTAGACATACTCGGTGAGGTTAATGGGAGTTATGCTTAGGGAGGAAAGATGGTCCAGAGGTTGGGGTGCTAGCCTGGGACTTGGAAGACCGAGATTCAATATCCTTCTCTGCTACAGATTTACTGGGTGACCTTGGGCAAGCCACTTAATCTCTTTGTGCCTCATACAGGGATGTTGTGAGGTGCTCAGACACTACTGCCGTGGGGACTACATAAGTATATACGCTAGATAGGATTTCACACAGAAAATATTAGCATGCATCCATATTCTGAAATAAATATTGATTTATACAGTCATGTCAAAGTTCTGAAAATACATCTATTCAAGGACTGAACCCCTCATTTTCTTACTTTCGTGATATGTGTAGTAGTTGTAGTACTGGTAGTTTCAGATGTGATGGTTTGTGCACTCATCAACACACCTGGCTCTGAGTCAGCACCAGAATCTGCCTAAATAGCCAAAAGAAAAAAAATGCCACAAATTGTTCGTGAAAAATGGAGATATTGGCTGAGCTTTCCTGTCTCTAGACTTCTGCATAAAGAATGTGGCTGATGATATAAACTAATTGCTGCTGGGATGTTCCTTTATAGCTGACAGGCTATTCCATTTGACTGAAACAACAGCATTTCTATTATGCCTGGTGGTGTTCTAAGTGCTTTGCAAATAGTACCTACTGTGGCCACTTCTAGAGTGGAACGCAGCAGCTGCTTAACAATATACATCAACAGTTGGAACATGAAGTAAAGAATTCTACATGGGACTGGAACTGCCTGGAGAATTCAGAGGTAAAAGGTAATTGCTTGAGTTGGTATTTAATCTGAACACCAAAATGAATATCTTATTGTATTGAGAATATCTTAATATTCTTTTTGTAATACTCTTACAAAAAGAATCATGTGGTTCTTTAATGGCCAGGAGACCAGTCAGACCTGTCCCATAGGACTTAGATGTTATTTCATTACTTACATTTCTACTTCAGAATTTTGCATCACCTCATAAGTTTACAACAGTACTTCTGTTTGTATTACAATGTGTCTCATACAGTTTTTTAAGGATATATGTTTAAACATATACATCGAAGTCCTGTAGTCTAAGCAGTGTTCACAAAAGATTGTATACTGGTACGAATAAGAGTACCTTCAGATAAACCTACATATTTATATAGTTCTTCTGTTTAGTATAGACTTACTATGGGTGATACTACTATTTAAAACTGTAACATATTTAAAGCAGCTGACACTCAGGTACTTTTTTAGCCCTTGGTAAATTAGGTCCTGGATCTTGCAGAGTTTCTTACCTGTGATGATTCATATGTAATGGTTTTTGTTTCTGTATGAACTATGGGAACTTCCTTGGTAGACATTTCAAGCTTCTCCCCACCTGGAGAAACACTGCCAAAGCTGATGGTTTCAGTCTTCACAACTGGTGACTGCTTCAATGGAAAAGTAATTGGAGCATTTATTAAAGCTTTTGGATTTCTCAGAGATATTTTTTTTTTGTTGGGGAGTGGAAAAAAATAAAATAAATGTGCTCTGCATTACAGGAAGGAAAAAAATGTCAGCATAATGGTCCATACATGTATATATGTTAACAATACTCCAAGGCAGTTTTTATATCTAATGCTAAGCTGTAATTCATGAAAGTCGACTTTAGAAAAGATGCAAATATTAAAAATTTGCTTATTTTAAAATACAGTAGAACAGATTGACATTACAAGTTCATTTTCTTGTAATTACCTCTCAGAAAGAGAAGCAAAACAATATGAAGGTTTTTAACACCTTAGTACAAATAGGTTTAGAAATCCTGCTAATGAGGCTAAAATGAGAAAACTTAGTAGTTTAAAACAAGGTAAATTATTTACAATTGAGACAAACATAGAAGAATGTATTATTTTCTGTTCCATTTGGACAAGTGAACTCTATAAATCTTAATGAACTTTCCACAGGCAGAGGACACTGAATCCTTATGATCAGTTACATAAAAGACATCAGTCTTCAGCACTGCACACTCCTTTAGGTAAAATATACATTGCATGTTGTCCAGGACCGGCCTTACTGGTGGGCGACCGCCCAGGGGGATGCCATGCTCAAAAGGAAAGGAGTAGGGCAGGCCTGGGGTGTGAGGCTGCAGAAGGGAGCTCAGGGCAATGGGGAAGAAAACAGCGGGGCCTGGGGGGTGATGGAGGGTTGGGGAGCCCAGGGAGGCAGCGGGGGCCAGTGGCGCCAAAATACAAGTTCACCCAGGGCGCCATTTTCCCTAAGGCCGGCCCTGATGTTGTCGATAATGGAAACCAGCAACAAGCCTCAGAACTGCCATGCAAGAAAGAAATAAGAGGAGAAACAAACTGCCCACTATAAAGATGAGATAATGTAATCTACTACCTGTGTATATTTTATTTAACTCTTCATCAGTGCAGTTAATTTAGTCCAATATTGTGTACATTATACCAGTGATAATCAAACCTTAGCGGGTCAGGAACCAAATTAGCAATCATCGTTACCCAAAAGAGCCACGGTAGTGTAAATTCATTGTTTCATTTATTTTATATATATAAAATGTGAGTATGTGTGTGTGTCTATATTATATATCTATATCTATATCTAGATATAGATAGATTTTTTTTCCCCTCACAGCAAAATGACTGACCAAGTATTCTACAATTGATTAATAATATAGCAAAAATATCCTGACTGATTAATAATTAAATCACATGGTGTTTTAATATCATGTGCTGCAAAGAGCTGCAGGAGACTCATTAAAGAGCCACATGCGGCTCCCGAGCCTCAGTCTGAGTATCACTGCCTTATACTTCAATGCAGAAATAACTGATTATTAATAACTAGTTACCTCAACATGAGGTTTTCTTTCCAATGTATCGGAAACGTGGACTGTTGCACTCTGCTCCTCCTCTTGCTGATGAGAAGCAGCAGCAGCAATTTCTTCCCGTTTGGTTACAGCTTTATCAGCCTCCTCCCTTTTTTCCTCTTTAGCCCCCTCAGTCACAGCTGAACCCTCCTTTCCTTTCATACTAGAAGCAACAGCAGATACTGCCTGTGCCATAGCATCCAGCTGATCTCCAGCCAATTTAACAGCATCCCCACTTGCATGCACATTCGTCACATATCTCTCCTCGACCAATACAGTCTCCTGCACAACCTTCTTCACTGCATCCTGATATGGCAGAATCTCTTCCTTCATTTCGCTGACACTTATCTCCTGGCCGGTCTTTGTTTCCGTTCTCTGTAGGGAAATGGATCTAAATGTCAGAAGTGAAAAATAAAACTTAACCCAGCTCCTAATGCCAATGTACTGTAAATATAAGTAACAAACGATATTAAAGTTTGCCATTTTGTTTCTCCTGAGTTGCTTAAGTTTTCACTTTAAGGTAATTATTATAGCAAAAGCGCACCATGAATCAGCATTTAAAAAGGGGAGAAGAAATCTCATACTATCCTTTTTGTTTGTATCAATGCCCTAGCATTCTAAACGCAAATAAAATATCCTGTAAAATGACAAAAGAAAAAAAAAAAAGGAATAGTACTTGATTTTCTTGTGAGGTTTCTGGTTGTGATCTAGCTTAGGAAGTAAAAGGCACACCAAGCATTTGCATTAATATTAACCATGCAGATTCTGAAATATCTATGAGTCAAACACACTTATGTGCAAATATAGGGAACAAAAGAAAAACAAAAATCAGTAGTGTGCAGTTATAAAATTCATAGATGGAATCAAACGGCCACCTGAGCCCTGCTATGTGAAGTAGAAGTAACCTCTCCTATGAACTCAGTTGGTTTTCTTGCAGACTCTAATAAACTGAAGATATCTGAACCATCCAAGGTTTTTTCACTGGAGGACTGTTTAGTCTAAGTGGACAAAGAAATGCAGAGTCATACACAAAAGAGAGACAGACAGACACACACAGATATGTTAATTGACAAAACTCTAGGCTGAGACAGAGGAAAGGAGGATAAGGTTGCAAGGACACAGACAGGTTGAAAACAGGAAAAGAATGGGAAAATAAATGAGCACAAATCTGTAATGACTATAAGCAGTAATTTAAAAGCATACTTGTTAGCACTGGGATTTTGCTGGTTCAAGCAAACCTTTTTTCCCCCCCATTACAAGCCACAGCAGCAATACTACATTTCAGCAACATGAATCTCTAAATAAATTTGAAAAGTTTAAAGCATTATAATGCCTGCTTTGGACTGTGGTACTGACTTAAACCATGAGAAAAAAAAATAAGCTGGGTTGGCTATTGTCAACATAAAGCCAAGCAGCAAGAGAACCGAAAGGTAGGGTAGTGTGAGGGTATTGCCTAAAAAAGTCATGCTTTAATCTTTAAATTGTGGCACAAAGTCAAAGCCACTTGTTACCACTACTCTTGATGCAGACGACTCAGAAACATAGTGAGCAGTAGCAATGGTAAATGGCTGTTCTCTGGAATATCTCCACTCAGACAGGCTCTTATCTTTCCGACCAAATGCCCCTGCTTTCAGAGCTTCACTGTCAAGGTGTTTTTCAGCTCTGCCAAACTGCAAGCTTCCCAGTGCACCATGAAAATCCTGGTCCATCTTTTGTGCTTTCTTCAAACTTTCCTCTTCAGGACTATGCAACTGAGACTCTGCTTCCTTTATAGGTGTCAAAGATTCGGACAGCTTTCTTTTTGTACTCTGTACATCGGATCCCCTCCTGGCTTTTTCGTCTGTGATGGGCTCTAGAATTTCATATTCAGCCACTACTGGAATGATTTTCACAGATTCTGGCATTCCCCTCTCCATTTTTTGAAACGCTTCTAGTGATGACTGCACTGTTTTCTCTCCCTCTTTAGCTTTACTTGTCATGGTTACAATTTTCCCGGATACAGCATCATAGGACTTTCCTAAGGTGTACATTTTCTGTTTATTCTCCTCTTTTGATTGTATTTCATTTTCCAAGTCCTCAAAGCTTTGCATTTCAATGGTACTGGATTTTAATATCTCAGGTGGAATGTCACCAGTTTTACTGCGCACAGTCATTACTTTGTATGTCACAATTTTTTTCGATTCACCATCAACTACCTCAGTAGGTATTTTGTCTACAATAACCCAATCCTCAGTGCCCTATATTTGAAATATAAAAGCTACATTAGATTATCCAATTGTTTATTTTTGTTTTAGGAACACTAAAATATTAAAACTTAAGAAATCTGAGGTAGCTATTTTGAGAACATGTAATAGCTGTACCTGGTACAGCAGCAATTAAACAGCATCACTGTTTGCAACATCAAATCTGCGAAGAGTTTCTTTTGTGACCCCCGTTTGAGGCCATTTATAATGTGGCACAGTCTTACTCTGATAACTTGCAGCTGAGTAGCATTTTAAAAAAATTAAACACACATCTGACTGGCTGTTTTTGAGTAATCCTGGCTGGCTGTAAGCTCATGCACCATAACAATACCCTATTTCTTTAAAATAAAGGTCAAGTTATAAAAATAGGATAATTAGCCCATTCAGTCACCCCCCCACTCCCATGTAAATATTATTTTGTGAAAGTATTTTGAGGTCTCAGGACAGCACATGTTTGTATATGCCAGAGTCTTAACTGAGTTTCCTTGCTTTTATGGGACTAAATCAGACTCCCTTAGCATTATTTAAATTTAGCTATACAGTATATTAAATATCCTGAGTATTGTGGATTTTGTTTGAACATAATATACAAATGCAATGTGCCTATATACATATACAAGTATGCTATGTGATTTAGTTTCAATTAGGGTGACCAGACAGCAAGTGTGAAAAATCGGAACGGGGTGTGTGTGTAATAGGAGCCTATATAAGAAAAAGACCCAAAATGCGGGACTGTCCCTATAAAATTGGGACATCTGGTCACCCTAGTTGCAATGTACACAGTGTCCAATTATTTATCCCTACAATAGTTTAATTTATTCAACTAAACCAATGCACTGGTTTAAATAAAATTCATTAAAAATAACCTCTAAGGATGATGGAACACTTTTCTGGAAAATGATTTGATGAGAAGTAACAACAGTGCCAGCAGATTCTCCTTCCTGCAGCTTCTTCTCTATCTCTCTTGGCTAATGGAAAAATCAGTAAGAATTCAAACTTAATCATCAAGATAATCTGAATTCATTTGACACCATAAAGGAAATTCATTCTAATGACAACATTGCCTCATTCACTGTAACATTTTCAGTGAGACTTCTGTACTCTGCAAATGCATGCACAGTTAGAGAACTCTCCCCTCCCCCAAATCCACTCACCCAAGGCTGTTAACCACAGGGAAATCAATCTCTAGTAGGTAGACAAAAACTTTGGAGGATACTTGTTCTCCTTCCCCAGCATTCTGCCCACAATAACATACCTACTTGTGGAGCTTTTTTTAACATAATGTTGTGGTTTTGAAAAGGAAAATGATAGCAAAAGAGTAACTCCGGGCCAGTCTATTTGATTGCATTTTAAGAAAGTATGTTTCGTTTTTACCTGCGACTCCAGGAATGTAGTACTTCCCTTCTGCAAAAATATAAGTTTTTCAGATTTTTCTTTTTCTTCTTTGGTCTAATGAATAAGAGAGGGCCGGGGAGTAGACAGTTTTAATAACTGAAATGCATTCTTATTCCATACCATATACAAACTTATCTATGTTTCATACATTTCTAACGTACAAGCAAACCATTCATTGCCAGACTATTTCATATGAGAAACTAGTGTGGAGGAAAAATGCTCTAACGCCTAAACTTTGGTCAAGTGAACTGTATGTAGGGTCAGGTGAACTGTATGTGTGGCCTGGAGGAAGGAGAAAAGGGGGGGGGGAGTAAAAGGAGAAGAGTAGACAGAAATCATAAAAGCAGAACTAACTGTAGAAATTATAAAAGTAGAATTAACCTTTGTAACAGACTATGATTAATAGATGTCAGGTGACAGAGCAAGAAAACGCAAAGGGCAAAAAAAACCCTAAGAAAAACAGGAAAACTTGTTTTGCTTTATTCCTTATATGGATGTAAAACTTTAAGGAAGTACATGTAATTTTTGTGGTTTTATCCTATATAATCTCTTGCATTTTATCTGTCGGGGGTGTTCGGCTGCCTTAGCTGACTCCCCCATGCATGCATGTTTGATTGATCAATAAAGGAGCCTCAGGCTGTCTGATCCAAAATCAACCGTGTGGTCAATTTTCCACAACACTAGCAAACAATTAAACAGGAATGATTGTAGCAAAGAACTTTCCAAGCAATAAAATAAATAAATAAATAAAAAATCCAGGAGTACCCCTGCTCAGGACACACAGGTGAATGAAAGATAGACACTGGGATGGATTTTAAGCAGCAGGCTACAACTTTATTAACTTACAACTGGGTATGGATGGTATATAACCACCCCATCTCATATACCAGACATTTAACAGGGTCTACTGTGGCGTTACAGGGCTCCCACCATATAACCAAAAACAACTTGTCCCACAGGGCCCAGCCCACTTCTGAGTCCTCTCACCCACTTCCCTACTCCCCATGAGGGGGATAGAGGTTACAAATGGGGGATCTCGGTCTGTGTAAACTTAGGTCTCATTTACCACTGGTACCTGGCCCGTTTAGCCTTTATGCACACTGGACACAGGCTGTAAATTGTGACAAACTAAACATTCTCTTACTAACAGACTTCCAAATCCTATTCTTCTGTTCCTCAACTGTGCCGCCACAATGATGCAAGGAAAGTGAAAAAACCTTTGGAAACTGACCGTTTGGCCCAGTGTGGGGAAAAAATCCTGATCCCCCAAAACAGTGATTGGTCAGACCCATCCCTTCCTATCCAGCATTCTGGAAACAAAACTCACTGTGGTTACAGCTAAAAGTAGGGAGGGGAGAGCAGATGAAGAGGCAAGAGGCTCGTGAAGTCCAGGGGAAAGTTTAAATTGTTGGGAGGGGTGTGGATGGACCAATCGGCTCCCAGTCCCCCCACTCCCCAAAGCCAGCCAATGGGAGGCAAGAACCCCAGGAGGCGGGACACGGCTTCTGCATCTTTGCGCATGGGTTTTACTCCATCCATACCTTCTAGGAGGGGTCCATCCCCTTTTCTGGTCCAACCAACAGCCCACGATCTCACTTGTTGAGACGGGGGTGGGGACATTTCTCAGGCATGCACTCTCCCCCTTACTTCTAGGGCAATGCATTTTCTTGACCAAACATCCCCTGAAGTGTGATGAGGGAGAGAGGGAGTTGTGGAAAAATCCCCATCTACTATAACATCCAGTGTATTATTCTTTATTATCTTTTTTGCAAGTATTATTGCTGAAGTGATAAAAGGATAATCTTTCAACATTTAATGTGACATGTATTCTACATGTTTTAGTCACTTGAGAAGAATACAAATTTTAACAATGAAAAAACAGACAAAATAAGGAACATTTACAAACCATGCATGGAAAGGTAAGTCACTGAGCTTCAGGAAACAAACAGCTACTACTGCTTGAACCTCACTGACAAAAGCTGTGTGTGTGTTTTTTAAATCACATTTTCCTATTTTTAAAAATGTTAGTCTTTCGCCTATTGTTGTGTGAAACTGACTAATGGACTATACATTTCCTTATAGTAATCTTAGGTGTTACTTTTAACTATACTAAACAATTCTTAAGTGAGATTTAAGTAGACTGTGTATCTCTTTGAATTGATGATGTTATTTTTAAAAAGCAAGTGAAATTGGAGGTTATCAAAACTCATATTAATATATCGTGTTCCAGAGGAACCATGCAATTTATTTAAACACCATACATTTCCAGGACACAGAATTATGTTATTTTGTATCACTCAATGCACTAGAGAGATCAGTGGTACTTAGTCTAAGTAAACGGGGCCATTATGACTTAATTTACAATACAGATCACAAAAATCAGTAGGTGATACTAAAAACTAATACCTCCCAGTTTCCTGTGTCAGATGTTACCAAATGGGTCAGTAGAGGGCCTAGAACAATTTTAAGTTAATAATAATTTGGGGAAGACAAGGGTAACACCTGGGAAATGGTGTGCTGAGCTGAATGAAACTTATTATGGGTCAGACTGTGATACCCTGACTCCTGTTGAAAAACTCTGTTAAAGTCAGTGGGGCTAACAGTAGAGAAATATTCTACTCTATCTGAGAAAGAGTATTGTAATCTGACCCTATCTGACTGAGAAATAATAATAAAAACTATCTGAGGGAAGACTGTTGTCATAAGACAATTCTCACAGCATCTGAATACTCCTTGACCTTTGTCAATCTGGGTGCACTTGTATCTTCTCCCATTTTTGCACTGGCTGTGGGTTTCCAAGTGGAATTTGAGGTATTGATTTTGACCTATAAATTGCTTGGAACCTGCCTGACAGACACCCACCTCTCTGGGCAATACTTGAGCAGAAATCCTTTTGGTTTATAAGAGAGATAGGATGCTGAGATGTCATGGTTAGTGAGGGCCCGTCGCCTTTGGAATTCCCCCTCTCACCATTGGTCCAGAAGAGCCCTCACATCTGTGAATCTTTAGAGCATTTTGCTGAACCTCATCTACTTGGGTGGATTTTGGAGAGAACTGAGGTGCATAACATTGGTGAAATTGGGTGGCATGTAGGGTTTTGAGAGAGCTTAGGTGGTTGGGGGGGGATGGCTATTTTTGTGGGGAGTTTGTTTGCTACTGCTGGTTTTTTGTCTTACGTATGGGCTTGGGCTTTTATTTTGTTAAGGTGCCTAGAGTCTCAGATAAATAACTTTATGGTGCGTTCAAAACAAAGTAGACAGGGATTTTTAGTTGCTTATACATTTTTATCAAGCCTCTCTCTGTCGTATTTGGGCACATTTATCAAAATGACAACCAAAATGATTTCTATCAAATAGTAGTAAGAAAAAAAGCCATTTCAATAACCACCTCTTCCACTGATAATAAATATCTTCCCAGCCACTGATTTTAAAAAGCCAAGGTAAACGGATGAGTCTTGCACTGTATCCCAGAAGGCTGCCAAACTGAGACTCTGGCATAGTGCGATTTCTAAAGCCGTCATGAATGCTTTGTCATCTGCTCATAGGAATTCATCCCTTGGGGAGGATAGCAAGAGCATTCCAGCTAATTGTAGCTACCACTGATGTATTGACGTAACAGATTACAGTGACTATAAAGATACCGCCCCATTCATGAAGGTGTCATTAGCTGCTATTCCAAGTATAAACTCTGAGGATTTTCTCAATACAAGGGGACACAATCTGTGCTCTCATATTCATGTAAACCATCAATGAAGAAATTATGTTTTATAGAAGAGGCACTCAGAGATTTAATACATTTAATGTTGCTTGGTTACCTTTATATGGATTAAACTTTATCTGATGTTAGACGGTGTGATCTCTCTTTGGGGAAAAAAGAGTTAATTTAGGAAATGTAAAGGCAGAGAAGTTACTGTACCACATTGTTAGAAAAAGGTGTTACTACTTACTGCAGAACTGTACAGAATTTACTTTGTAAGGCCACACCCAGTTCAGCACGGTACTTAAGCACATGCATAGTTTTAAACATTTGAGTAGCCCCACATAAATCAACAGGGTTATTCGCATGCTTAAAGCTACGCATTGTGCTCTATACTTCCTGAATCAGAGCTTAAATACAGTAGCCTGGTCCACACTAATCCCCCACTTCGGACTAAGGTACGCAAATTCAGCTACGTTAATAATGTAGCTGAATTCGAAGTACCTTAGTTCGAACTTACCGCGGGTCCAGACGCAGCAGGCAGGCTCCCCCGTCGATGCCGTGTACTCCTCTCGCCGAGCTGGAGTACCGGTGTCGACGGCGAGCACTTCTGGGATTGATCTGGGATCGATTTATCGCGTCTAGACAAGACGCGATAAATCGATCCCAGAAGATCGATCGCTTACATCCGGACCAGGAAGTAAGTATAGATGTACCCAGTATTTAGGAATGATACCTTTTTACTATACTGGAACTGGATTCCTACTATGTAGCTGCATTTTTAGGAGACTCTTCCTTAGGCATCTGTAGGGTACCAATCACCATAGTGTCTAAGCACTGCAAATATTGGATGCAAGGTGAAAGATCCTTAGGATCATCCCTTTCTGATTCCTGGTTTAGGCTTCCTTACAAGTCTGAGATTGTACACAATCCCTGAATGCACTGCCTTGGTCTGTATAAGCAGTTCCTTGTAATATTTGGGATCCAGGGCTTTTCTGAGTGAGAGTCTGTTTCTCTCTTCAGGTATTCAAAGAACAGGAAGCTGAGGAGTGTTTCCAAACATACAAGTGCAAGCTTCTCCACATTTTCCCATTTCCGTCTGTGACAGACCCAGACCAGTGGGGTATAGGAGTCTGGCAGAAGGCAAATATACTTGCCACTGGATGAATAGTTTTCTGTTCCCTGAGTGACCAGAGTAGGGGCTGCCCTAGAGCAATCAGGAACCTGCCAGAACCAATTAAGATAGGCAAGCTAATTAAGACACCAGGAGCCAATTAAGAACTTACTAGAATCAATTATGGCAGGCAGGCTAATCAGGACACCTGGTTTAAAAAGCACCTCCCATCAGTTAGTGAGGGGGTGCGCAAGGAGGTGTGCTGCTGGAGGACTGAAGAGTACAAGCGCGATCAGGCTTCAGGAGGAAGATCATGCAGTGAGGATAAAAAAGGTGCTGGGGGGAGGCCATGGGGAAGTAGCCCAGGGAGTTGTAGCTGTCACGCAGCTGATACAGGGGACATTGTAGACAGCTGCTATCCACAGGGTCCTGGGCTGGAACCCGGTGTAGAGGGAGGGCCTGGGTTCCCTCCAACCCCCCAACTCCTGATTGGACACAGGAGGAGTTGACCTGGTCTGTGAGAAACATCAGAAGGGAAGGTGTAATTTGGAAAGGGATCTGGTCTGTCCCTGACCCACTAGATGGGACACAGAGACTGTGGGGATTGTTCTCCATTTCCCCCATGCTGGCCAGTGATGAGGTTAGCTGAGCAAATGGCACGTTTGAGCCTCTATCAGAAGCGGCCAAACTGAGGGCTGCCGTGAACCTCTGAGGTGAGCAATTCTACCAAAAAGCGCAGGACCCACTGTCATGAATATAAAGGGAAGGGTGACCACCTTTCTGTATACAGTGCTATGGGGTCCCTCCTGCCCAGAGGCACAAAATCCTCTTACCTGTAAAGGGTTAAGAAGCTCAAGTAACCTGGCTGGCACCTGACCAAAAGGACCAATAAGGGGACAAGATTCCCGCCTTATGCAAAAGATATATAACGGGGTGAAACAGAACAGACAAACAAAAGCCTTTCCTCCCCCTCCCCAGATCTGAAAGTATCTTGTCACCTTATTGGTCCTTTTGGTCAGGTGCCAGCCACGTTACTTGAGCTTCTTAACCCTTTACAGGTAAGAGGATTTTGTGCCTCTGGCCAGAGGGACCTCATGGCACTGTATACAGAAAGGTGGTCACCCTTCCCTTTATATTCATGACACCCACCAAGGCAGAGGAGGAACTTTGTCACACGTCCTTCTGTAAGTACAACCCAACAGGTATTCAGTTTCCATGATCATTCAGTCACTGGACTTTAATATTAACAGTTAGTGACATTAGTGATGATACTTCTGGAATTGGATTAAGAGTATGAGTTTTCTCATGAAACCCTGGTAACAACTCTGAGTCCCTACTGACTTGGACTAGATTCAAACTAATGGAAGGCTCCATATTCCCCATTCTCTTTGAACTCTTAGGAATGGTAAGGCAGCCTAGTATCTTAGGTTGTTTTGATGTTACAATAGCACTTCTGTCAATATCGTAAACCACACAATTTATGCTTAACTTAAAAAGACACATTTTTGTTGGAAAGTTCTTCTACGAGCATTTCCTGACCACTTAGTGCACCAGCTTTTTACTTTTGGCAATCTAGCCTTTCAAGCTGGTCGCAAATGAAAATTTATCACGTAGTTTACAGTTAGTGCCTACAAAATGTTAGTCTGGATTATGAAACTGGCAAATTGGGCATAACTAACACATCGCCATCTTCAAAGTTCTAAATAACTCTGCTCCTCCCTACCTACTCCCTCTTGCCACCCCCTCCTCCTCCTCTGCTCTGCTAATGCTCCTGACCTTTGTCCATACATTTGCCAGATTTTCATACAATTGCCTCCATGCCTTCTTTCATGAAGCCCTCTGGGCTGGTTCACCCCCCACCCCCAGCTCATCAGACCCCCTAACCCTATCCACATTTAAGTCCCTCTTAAAGACCTACCTCTGCCATGCTGCTTACAGTGAATCTTATTGAGTCATCTGTAAATTGCATACAAGTTGCCTACTGTTCTTCCCCTTTCCCTGACCTCTGCCTTTAGATTGCTAGTTCCTCAGAACAGAGAATGCCTTCAAGTGCTTGGTAAGCACCTAGCACCTAATGGGAGCAACCGCAAATAAAATACATAGAGGGTAATAGGTGATAAAGAATAGACAGCATGGATTTGTCAAGAACAAATTATGCCAAACCAACCTCATTTCCTTCTTTGAAAGGGTTACTGGCCTATTGGATGGGGGCGGGGGGGAAGTAGTACGTATGCTATATCTTGATTTTAGTAAGGCTTTTGTGACACAGTCCGAAATTACATTCTCATAAGCAAACTAGGGAAATGTGGTCTAGATGAAATTACTATAAGGTGGGTGCACAACTGGTTGAAAAACTGTACCCAGAGAGTAGTTATCAATGGTTCACTGTCAAACTGGGAATGCGTATCCAGTGGTGCATGGCATGGGTCAGTCCAAAGTCCAAAACTAGTCAATATTTTCATTAATGACTCGGATAATGGAATGAAGATTGTGCTTATAAAATGTGCAGATGACATCAAGCTGGGAGGAGTTGCAAGCACTTTGAAGGACAGGATTAGAATTCATAACAACCCTGACAAATTGGAGAATTGGTCTGAATTCAACAAGATGAAATTCAATAAACGTAAGTGTAAAGTACTTCATATCAGAAGGAAAAATCACGTGCACAACTACAAAATGGGGAATAACTGGTGAGGGAGTAGTCCTGCTGAAAAGGATCTCGGGGTTACAGTGCATCACAAATTGAATGAGTCACCAATGTGATGCAGTTGCAAAAAAGCCTAATAATCATTCTGGGGTTATGTAATGGGGTTTGCAAACCCTATACTGAGCATATGCAGAAGGGAGAGGAGAGTCTTTCCTGCTTACAGGCAATCAGGCTGACCACACCCCAGCACAGCTGCTAGAACCGCCAGTCGTGGAAACATGCACCCACAGATCGGACCAATAAAGAAAACAAGCCCAGCTATAAAGGATGGAGAACAGAGAGAGAAAGGGGGCAGAAAGGTCTGGGATAGAAGAGGGGCAACAGGCGACCTCTGAGAAACTGACAAAAGGAGACGGTAAGCCCTGGAGTTTAAAGGCTGGTAGACGCAATTTAAGTTAAGAAATTATGGACTGGTCTAATTGCAGATGAATTTAACGGGACCGTTAGGAAAAAGCTGGGATCCCTAGAGAGACTGCACCAAGAGCAGTTGACAGATATAATAACAGGAGTGTGTATGAAAGACAAAGAAGGTAATTTCCTGCTCTACTTGGTACTGGTGAGGCCTCAGCTGGAGTACTGTGCCCAATTCAGGACGCCACACTTTAAAAAAGATGTGGACAAATTGGAGAGAGTCCAGAAGAGAGCAACAAAAATGATAAAGGGTTTAGAAAATCTGACCTACGAGGAAAGGTTAAAGAACTGGGAATGTTTAGTCTTGAGAAAAGAAAACTGAGGGAGAGTGGAACCTGATAATAATCTTCAAATACGTTAAAGGGTTGTTATAAAAAGGACTGTGATCAGTTCTTCTCCATGTCCCCTGAAGGCAGGACAAAAAGTAATGGACTTTATTTGCAGTAAGGGAAGATTAGGTAATTTCTAACTCTAAGGGCAGTTAAGTTCTGGCTTCCAAGGGAGGTTGTGGATTCCCCATCATTGGAGGTTTTAAAGAACAGGTTGGACAAACATCTATCAACGATGGTCTGGGTTCACTTGGTTGTGCCCCAGCACAGAGGGATGGACTTGATGACTTCTCACGGTCCCTGCCAGCCCTACATTTCTATGATTCTGAGTCTGATGAAAAGGTGGGCACTGACCTCTTCAGGCACAAGTGGTTCAATCATAGGAGCTTCCTCCTGTCTTGTAGCAAGCCGAACTGGAGATGTCGAAAGCCTCTTCTCCCATTCATTAGACACTGTAGTGTCTGTGGAGGTTTCCAAGAAGGTTCGTTTCAGTTCACTTATATTGGTCTGGTGTTTCATCAGGTCGTCTTGATTTTTATCTAGCTCCTGGATAATATAAAAACAAGGGCATTTTGTAACATTCACCTAAGCTGCCAAAATGTAAAAATCAAAATGTGCAAATTGGTTAGTGAAGAAGGTAGTAAGTATTTTAGGGGATCAGGGATCACGGCACTAACACAACACTTGTGAAAATGTGATATTTTGAAGGATAACTGCACAGAAAATCTAGTTCATGTGAGCAATAAAATACTCCTAAGTTTACCCGTATACACTATAAGCTATACCTGATAAAGAAACTTTGAACATATATACACACACATTTATGGAACAAGATAGAGAAAGCCATCGTAATCTGAGAAAAAAATAGCCATTTAATTTATTAGCAGGTGGGAGTACACGGTTCATGCATCATAGTGCAGATCCACAGGTTTACCACTAAAACCAACACACATGTACAGTACATGCACTGGTATATACCAATACCAACCTCTAACATAAGATTACTATGTTTGACATACACATTTTCACCCTTTATTCGCTTAATCAGACTATTCTGAAAGAAGTGAAAAGAAAGGGAAAGGTAAGGGACACAATATTCAAAGGATACAAAATGCTGTTCTATGCATTGCTTCACAAAGACTTGGCAAATGGCATGCTGAGAGATATGAACACTGCGGACACGCACAATTCAGTAACGCGCATGGCCTTCCATTCTGTACCTGTGCCTTGAGATCTCCATCTTCCTCTTGATCCGACTGCCAGCATAGGAAAGATTTGAAAACAAAACCTTACCAACACAAATCAATGTAAGGTGACAAAAGCTGATCCGTATAATTTATAATGCTAAGATCACATTTTCTCTCCACTGAGAGCGTTGGAGAAATGGGTGGACACATTTATCAACCCAACCTTGCATAGTTCTCATATCTAATACAAGAGCCTTCTTTTAAACTTGCTAAATGTGAAAAAAGGATATTAAAACTTCATTTTTTCTGTATGTCTTTGTGCTCAAATATTCACAGATCCTCTATCCATTTATGAGCCAGCATTCAGACTTCCTACTGAGATGTAATGTTGTATTATACTTTAATGCTAATAGTAAGAGCTTCAGATCTACATGACACCCACGAGTTTAAAAGTTATAAATAATGGTCCACTAGCAGTCTCCTACAAACTTCGAAGCAGGGTAACAGTGCACAATGCTGCATACAAAGCTGGAGCATCATCTAATTCCATAAAATGCTATTTCACTAATTTTATTCATTCTCTCTCTCCCTCTGAGTGTTTTTATACACACATTTTAGCTACATTGGATCCACTTATAGGAACTGCACTCTGGAATGGCATACTCATCGGGATCCTAAATTTTCTAAAGTGACTGATGATTTGCTGGTTGCTTCAGTTTGTGAGTGCCCAACTTGAGACATTTGAAAATCAGGCCCTTATTAGCTGTCAGGTGCTCAACGCTTTCTGAAAAAGCAGGTCCCTAATAAGACACCATGTTAGGAACTCAAAAGTTCAGGGTTCCAAAATCTCTACCTGTGAAAATTTAGCTTAAATGTTTTCAATATATCCTTTCTGTATAGTTAAAAATAATTTTTTAGACAGGAAACACAATACAGAATTCTATTTTTTCTACTGGTATCAACATTCATAATGTCAGTTTCATAATGGGTTCTGCTGATTTTTGGGCCACTATTTTCTTGTTGATATTTTAAAATTTACTCTTAATTATTCAAATAACTGCAAATTCTGTATTTGACATTCACTTTATCACTCAATTCAAGTCTACTGTATTTACAGGCAAGATCTGATTGCCACTGATATGCTGCATACAGAATATTTCCCTGATGGTGATTTAAATTATAATAATTTGAAATAGTGATTGGATCATTTTGAAACCCTTTAATAATATATGTGATAACACTGTGCGGCTTTACCTCATATTGTATCAAATTCAGCCCTGGTGTATGCAGCTGCAACTCCATTAACGAGAAGTTACACCCTCTTCACTGGAGTTGTAATAGGGCTGAATTTTGTGTATTCAGTATACTTACAATATTGTATATGTTTTTAGGTTTTTGTTTGTTTATTTGAGGAAGAGGGCTAAGCTATTTATTTTCATCCTCTGAAAATAATACATGTAACAATACATGTATTATAAATGTTACATGTTAAACAGAATTCAAGGCACAGTCTCACATATGATTGAGGAAACTTGAGTACATTCCAGAATGAGAAAAATTCTCCCAGGAGAAACTTTTGAATATCTGTCTGTTCTCCCTTTTTATACATTTAATTCTCCTTAACATGTTCATCTTAAAAACAAGATAACACAACCTCAGTCAGCATTACAGCCCAGGGAAACAGCATTTGTTCAAGTTACTTTACTACCATCTGTTACCTACACAATACACAAAGTAGTTTACCCAAATTTCCAAACAGAAACCCAAAATAAAATGAATTTAGAATGGAAGTTTGAAACTTAAGGAATCAAACTCTTCAACACACACACACATATATAGAAAGGTATCTAAACTGCAGCAACAGAGGCACAGAATAGTGCTAATATACAGGATCTGAGAGAGGTGAAGCTACATGCTACATTCTTTGATAACTATATGCTGGTGACTGTACAAACCTCTGTGGCAGTAGTTTCACCATCAGCTGCGGTATCCGTCTGTTCACTGTCAGTCTATTTTGTTACACAAGTAACCAGGTTCCAAGAGGTAAGCAGGAATAAAGAATAAACCCATCTTGTCAGTAAATGCAGGTCACAGCTTGAATTGCTAAGTCTACATCCCTGTGGTGTGGCTTTTTAAACCATATATAATTTAAAGAAGCAACAAAAAATGCTATATTTAATAAACAGAACAGACTCAGAGGAAGACTCAAGGCATAACGTACACAGTACATGGCTTTATCATAACAGCTTTATTAGCCAAACAAAACATTACCTGAAAAAATGTTATTTGAATCACAGGTTTTTCCTCTTAAGAAAGCCAGGTGGCTTTTTTAAAGAACTAAAACCTTGTAAAAATATATATAATTAACAAACTTTTCCCCCACAACATAAAAATAAATACAATCCTGTTAATCAATTTTTTATGCTAGTATACATAGTTACGGTGGTGTTTGATTTTGTAGTTAGAGGGGGAAAAGATGATAATTAAAAAAAGAAAAAAAAGCTACTTTAACAGTCACCTGACTTTCAGCCCCTCATCTGTACAGATTTTATTATTGTCCCCACATTTAAACATTACGAGGCTGTCTGCATTACCAAGGAGTTCAAATAAGTATATACACAGTCATCTACAGTCCACCTATGTCATTTGTATGGCTCACCCCACATTTGTTAGTGCTAAGATAGAGCTGCCGATATTGTTTCGAATATTAAAAAGGAACAAAATTACCATTTCAAAAAAGAATACAATTTTAAACACTTTTCATTCCAATTAAAAATACTGACCCCCAAAAAAACAAACAAAACAAAAACAAAAAAACCCCAAACCAAACCAAGTACAAGTGGTAAATATGAAACAAAGCACAGCATTATGCAGCCTAATGTACCCCTACTTTTTAGGCTGCACAAGTAGAACATCGACACGGTCAAGTACATCTTGGAATAGACAATATGAGTGTCAATAATTTAACACATATAGAGTCAAATTTAGGTAACTCCTCATGAAGTGGTTGTTAACATGGTTAATAGGGTTGCAGATCATCAAAATAACGACTTTAAAAGCAAAAATTAAATATCATTAAGTCACCTGCCCTTGATCTGCATGCACAACTTTCACTAAAATCAATGAGAGTTCTTCAACTGACCAAGGATCATAAATGGTCATAAGACTATATATAAAGTAATAAAAGTCAGGTAATTTATAGTTAAGACAATACTCTTCATCCTTAAGTCTCAGCAACATGAAGAGAGAGAAAAAAGGCAACACGGTTGAAGGTACGGATGGAGGGTCAGACTCAACTTTGAACTTCCTATCTTCTGTCAGTTTGTGACAATTTTAATGTTAGCTTAAAGACACTTTTGATACTTCCTTCACTGCCTTTGGCTATCACTACTTATTTTGAATAGAGGGTACAGAATGTGCATTATTCATATGCTCGCCAGAACTGATTAAGTCATTTTGGTCTACTGGGGTACATACAAAATAGTATATACAATTTTCTAGTAAGTGGGTTTGACTGGACAGGCTACTTTTTTTGTATGAAAGTTTAGTGCCAGAATAAATCATAAATCAAAATACATTGATTATAAACATAAAGTGTTATAAAAAGATTCTGTAAAAGTAGCTGCCTTGCTAGTAAAGCAGTCATTCATTTTTTATACTAACTAAAAGATCAGACATTACAATTTTATAAGCAAAACTGTTTTTGAGTTAAAACAGTACAACTAAAATCCAATTTACACTTGTAACTTAAAAACATCTGAATAGATGAGTCCAGCTATTTTTTTAAAAATAATAAATATTCTGGGGCGAAGACATTGTAATGCTAAATTTTGGCACAGATTGTTATTACAACAGTTACGATTTGGAAAGAAACGGCTATCAAGAATTTTAATCACTAAGGTGTGAATCGTACAGCTAATGAAATATAAAGGGACAAATTCTGCCCTTGGGGACACAGCCTGCCACCGATGCACGTCTCAGGATAGAATGTGGTCAAAGAAGAGGTTTGATCAGAATACAGTCCGCAGGGGCAGGATACTTATTGTAGCTCTTAAATATGTCATGCACATCATTGGGTACACTACTGTTAACTTAAAGTACATGTTTATACAGAGTTTTTTTCTATTTCTTCCTTAATGAAACTGAAATTCTAAATGAAATATAGAAATCAGTCTATAATCACGATGGACAAATTTACTAATAAACAAATCTACACCAAGAGGCTAAAAGTTGATGTTATTGAACAACTTGTCAAATAAAGATTTGAAGTCATTAAAAAGCAGTGAAATGGAGGTTTAAGAGGCTCAGCAAGGCAGATTTCACTAGGAACAGAGAGTTAAAAGAATGGCTGGTTAAAATTATAGACCAACTGTAGTGCTCTGAATGATATGCAGCTGCTGGCACTATTAGCAGGCTAGGGGATACGAAAGAAAAAAGATAGCTATATTCTGATAAGCTTCAGTTGCTTGTCCTCTAGTTTGTGACAATAACTGCTGTGATTTGTTTTGCCAATGTAATGCAGACATGCCCAACTTCAAAACATATTAACTTTCATGCAATATTTTGAACAAGAAATACACCCTGGATTAGGCACAAGTCTGTGTAATTTGCCATACAAGTACGGATTCTGGGGTAACCATTATCACAAAAGGGCTAAATTGCAAAGTTTATTTTACACATTGTTATCATGATATTCACTTTGACCACTAAGTCTAATACCAAAAGACTGAAAGAAGAATACACAAATAGATTATATAAACACTGCCTTATTATTATTTTTGGCTATACACTCTGCTTCTATAACAGACAATATATTATGATGTTTTTACTATTATAATCATCTGAGTGCAGAGCTATTGTAAGTTGAAATTTAATGCTATCGCAAAGTGAAGACATGAAATGAGACAGTAAAATGGATCTTGGACGCCTTTCATCCTAAATTGCAGGTTTTTTTCTTAAAGACTGGAACCAAAAACATCTGAAGAAAATGTTATGGTGCAAACAGATGTAACTCTGGCATTCCATAAAAGGGAATCACAATCCTATGGCCAAATGTTGCTGAAACTCATGAGGCAGATTTTAAAAATCTTTAGATGAACAGAATGTGCATACAAAGCAAGTCAGACTAAGAACTGCATGTACAAATGGCTAATGGTAATTTATATATGCAATTACCTGATTTGTGTCTGCAAGGACGGTACAATTGTATGCACAAAACAGGCAAGTAGTTGTGCATCTAAAGATTCTAAAAATCTGACCCCATGCTTTTACTCTGTCAGCATAGAAAGGGTCAGGAGTAAAATAGATACCAATTACTCAGTATCTGTTATACAGTCAAGTAGATTCCCTTTCTTCTTCTTATATGTAATTACATCCAAATTTCTCACCAGCACTACAGATTTTGTTGCCAGGCAAATTGCTTTAGCTGTATTTTGTTACAAGCCATCCAGTTTACTGACAAAAAGTATTAATTTTGGTAGTGCTAATTTAAAGCAGCAAGTGGTAACTAGGAAATGCTGCAGTTGCAATTGAAAAACGTACCAATGCAAATTTTCAGTGGAATGCTGCACTGAATGGGATACTAGCTGAATCTACAGTAGAGACAGGATCAAGCCACAAAGACGAGATCCAGATTTTGACATTCAAAGTTTGGGATATTAGGAACTGGGGATTTTGCTTGTCCTGTTACAAAATTAAAGGCCATTTTCAAAATTCTGACTCTGGTTTGGATTCTGACCACCCCCAAAATTTGGGATAGTGCCCATTATTAGTTGTTTGATATGTAACTATCCATGCAATTGTACTTAACTACTCGTTATTTAAACAACTCTTCTACTGTCTTTAGTAAAAACTAGTATTAACTGGAAGAAAAAACCTGATTGGAAGAGAGAGAGTTCAGATATTGTTCTTTAGAGTTGATTTGTGGCAAATCGTAAGTGTAATTCACTGCACAACAACTGATAAAGTTTGAACCAAGCTGCTATCTCATTCACAGTGTTGTGCCTAACCCTGGGACCCAAGCTGCACTCCCAACACAAAAAACTCTTACATATCAGCACAGACAGAAATGAGGTTCTGAAAGTAGGACCACTATTGCAGCATTCTACCACTGTTTAGGACTGAAGCACTGAACACAAAAAGAAGTGTGTTCTATGCCGAGGTACACACCTCTTCCTCTGAACTGTCACTCAGGTCATTGTCAAGTGAGGCACTCAAGGAGGCCGCCTTGGGCTCCAGGTAGCAGAGGCACATAGCCAGAGGAAAGGAGAGAGTGAGAGCATATGGCACTGAGAATGAGGCAGACAGCAGAAAGAAAAAGATGAAAAGGAAACAAGGCACGAGGGATGGTGATCGGATGGGAAGGTAATGCTGCACACTTTCAGGCAGGAAGTTGGTTTCAGAGAGGTTAGGGAAGGAAAGGTAGCCGTCATCATCCAGGAGAGCAGGAAATGACTCTGGAAGTTGCAAGGAGAAGGAAAACAGTGTTCCGCCGTTACCAGCTTTTTGCTTATAACTAAAAGCCATGTCTTGTTCAGCAGAGCAAACTCTTCCTTTTCTATCAGAGTCCAAGTCAGACTCACCGTGCATTTGCATAATGTCTTTAGATGACTCATAACTTAATGGGTTTTGAGCATTCTCCTTACATCTCCTACGAAGCTTTGTTGAAGATACAGGGGGACCAGACTGTGAGGTTGATGAGGAATGAAATGAATCAGTGCCAAGCAAAGATGACTGATGAAAGAGAGAGAGCAGCAAACAAGGCGCAGAAGCAAAAGGACAAAAAGAAAACTGTAATTAGTTAATTTTCTTCTGTGTTTATATATACAAAACAGAATTTTAACACCAAAGCTTTTCACTGAGTTAAATGAGACAAATTCTCACACTGCATGCCAATTATTAGTGATGGAGGGTTGCAGCTTACAAAAGCAACTTCTTCATTCAACATTTGTCTGTCCAGTCATACTGTAGTACATGATCTAAATAAAAGTCCTTTAAAGGAACCTTGTCTATGTGCACTTCCAGATGCTGTGGATTCCTATCTATCATAAGTGCTTTCAAACATGAAGTACGTGGATAACAAAAACAAACAACCCCCGCACCCCAAAAATAAAGACAAAAATCCCAAAACAAAAAAAGGCATTGAAACAAGGAAAAGAACTTCTAATAACTATTCTGCTTATGACATGTCCTGTAGTCCTTACTCAGTCAAGTCAGTGGTAAATTAGCCTGGGCAAGGACTAGGCACAAAGTGGAAGATTTTCAGAAGCACAAAAGGCATTTAAGATGTCTGTCATCTGAGATTTTGAAAATCTCCCCCAAAATGACTGAAAAATCAAGGCTTTCAATAGTCTTTTCCCAAGTCTCCTCCACAGAAAAATATCTAACAGCATAAAATGTCCCAAAATTAAAGATGATCAAAAATGAAAACTTACTCTGGTTTTGGGAAAAATTACTACCTCAGCCGATGCCAGTTTCATGGATGGGTAACTCAGCAGAAAAATCATACTCAGTAGATGAACACAGTGGGACAGATCCTCAGCTAGCTTTACAACAGGTGAAGATCTGCTCAGTATATTTAAATATCTGGTCCCACTTCTGTTTTGTGACTGGGGCCATCAAACCCATAATCAATTTGGCCACATGGAAAGAAGCCTTGCCTACAAAAATAGTTGTAAATAACTTTTCAGAAGGCCCAGGAATGGCCCTCCTCACCAAGGGCTACATGAGTACACAGTGTGACTTCCGTATCCCTAGGAAAGAGCAATTGCACTGGCCCCAAACAGACCACTAAGTACAGGAGGTTTGGGAGCAGACTGGAGGAGGGGACATAGGATCCTGGGCTATGCAGATGCAATGTCCCCAACAGCCCGTCACTGGCTGTGCAAGGGAATACCATTGCAGTTTATGGGCTAGGGTTCTAACTACATGAGCCTTGTGGGTAAGGGCTGAATTACATACAAAGCCAAATCCCTCTGGTTTTGTGCTAGAAGAGTAATTTTTTTTTTTACCCTTCATGCACAGGCAAAAAAATGCAGCCAGTACTCTTGCTAGAAAGTTCGCTCTACCTATGAAGAACAGGCAGGATTTACTACTCTTTCATTGAGATGCAAGAATGTTAGAAGGGCATTCAACACAATATTTAAAATTTAAACAAATAAAACAAGACAATGGTGTGAGTTGCCACGAGGGAATACACGCTATTAGTGTGCTGTGAAACTATCACATTCCCTCGTAGCCTCTCACTGGCATTCTTTAAAGAAAGAAAAGAAAAAGGCCAGTAGATTTATCATAATATTTGTTTATTTTTAGACACACTTGGTCAAATTCAATATGGCCCACTGTGAATAAATGAAACAGAGAACCAGCTCCATTACCCAAACTGCGACAACTTGAACTGCGCCCATTATTACTGTCTTCCTAGACCAGTTTTCTACATTTCACATGCATTTACAGTCTTACACCCTGATCCCAAAACCAGCTCCAGGTGGGAACAGGCACCTGCCTGCACTGAGCCAATTGCAAGATAAGGGGCCTTAATGCCATATCCTACTATCACTGGTTACTGTGTGTAAACCTTACTACGCATGTTAGTAGCAGGAGCTGGTCCCCTTAAGATTAACATTTACATTAAAAAATTACTGATTTTCCCCATTATTTTCCTTTAGCCTAGTATCCAAACAGATCACATAACTACACACTTCCTGATTCCAGTTAATTTAGGTAATGCTGCATCCAATTTCATAGCATTCCAGAATTTTAAAAAAACAAGTAAAAACATTTTATAAATTTTAGATACTTATGTTTAATATAACATCAATTTTAAACATTATTCAAAATGAATTCCTTTTTTAACTATCTGCCAATAATTTTATGTTCAAGTGCTATGTTCAAGTCCATACCTGTTCTGAAGTGTCCAAACAGATTAAATCTGGATGAAATTACTTTATTATATGTGATATATGCACACAAACATTTCTTTACAATATGAAGCCAAAAGTCATAATTTGTAAATTCTTCCTCTGCCAGTAATATTTTAATGAATTTATTTACATGCTTGGAGAATTAACATTTAGAATTTCTCCTGGTATACTAGTTAGACCTGCAATGCTTAATTCAAACTGTAAAATCCCTTATCAGAAAAGCTGAAAAACTATATACAAAAGTTTAGATTTCTTTGAATAAGAATCGAATTGAAAATTGGTCCAGTTGCTTCTTAAGGCCTGATCCATATTCCCATTTAGGTCAATGGCAAAACTGCCATGGTCCTCAATAGAAACCGAACTGGGTCTTTAATAGTATTTTAAAATTGCAGCCCTCTTAACTGATTACTTAAACACAATTTTTATTTTTGAAAAATAAATTATGTATTCTGGGGGTGGGTAAGTAACTTCACAACGTTCTTCTGAAAGTCTCATTAGCAATTTCCAGCTATATGTCTCCTTTGAACTGCAACTCACCCTCCTGCTTGACCTAAATTAACAATCCCATAGGGACAGCATTTATTTCCAGTGGATATTTTCTCCCCCCCCATACATTTGAATTTCAATATAGTCCTTTCCATTCACAATCCTTGTTAAAAATTACAAAGGTATTATTTTTTAAAGAGAGCTCTAAAGGGTGGTCTCTGTTTTGGGGTACAATTTGCATGTGTACATTTTTTCCCTGAATTTTTGAACCTGCAACTTAATTGCAGGTGTCTGTTTAGGGACTTGAACCTCTAATTACTTACCTCATTGCAGGCATATCTCAGGTAGTGAGAAGTGCAAGCTCTCAGATTTGTATCCATAATTCATTTGTGGGTATAAAATGTGGAGGTGCAATTTTGTGCTTCTAAGCAGGCTGGGCCTCACCCTTTTTGAAAATGTGGAGCATCAAAGTTCAAGAAATGTCCCTTTGCATTATATCCTAGATACAAATATTTCACACGCTATTTTTTTCTGATGTAGAACAGGAAGATTGTTTGGCTGCATATTTCCTGATTCTACCTGCTTTTTCTTCAGTGCTAATCTCTGAAGCTCAGCATTTGCTCTGTTTGATTTACTCTTTATCAAGAATAGAGCAAATTGAATTCCAGAGTTATTGGGAGAGGAGAATGGGATGTGCTGAATGACAGAAATCTATACCACATGACTAAGGAGTAGAGAAATGCCAGTAAAAATAGGCTTTTCAGTGCAAAACTACATAAAAGGGAAGCCAACACCTTACTAAGCCAGAAAAAAACATGCTACAGTACACTAGCGCCAAACAGTTAGGTGTAGAGATTATATGCCCATTAAGTATGTGCTGAGGTATGGAATGTGACCAGAAAAAAAACCAAGTGATTCTTCAAACACTGAACTGTGCAAAAAAACCCTGAAAAATATTGTTGCCTATTGAAAAGTGAACAATAACAAAATAAATAAATAAAACAAAAACAAAAAAGAGCAAAAGTGTAGTATGTAAATGCCACTTCTTTTAGATGTTCCCTGTTGAAAGCCCTATCACACTGACTGCTAAATCAAACTGTTTCTAAACCAAATAGCAGAAAGCATGAATTAACTTTAAACACATCACCTACTCACTCTCAGAGAGTACATAGCACCATACAAAGTTTTCTTGTTATGCGTTTAATACACATTCTCCTTCTTATCCTTACTGAATTTTGCTTCTCTCTCTAATAATTACTGTGGTGCTTCAAGTACTTCACAGCTGGGTGAGTTAAATAGTAAACCTGAAAACATTACCTTTGTGTCATGGCGTATTGCAGAGACTGGAGTGATTTCCTCTCCTTTTTTTTTGCCCTCTTCCTCATCTCTTTCTTCCTCTGCTTTTTTCTCTGGAGTCACAGTGGTTATCAAGTTGGTTTGAGAGATGCCCTTTGTTGTGGCGTACTGGCCAGTACCAACCTCTGCAGCAGACATAGAATCCTTCATGTACATTTCATGGTTTTCATTCACTGATGCTAAAAGCAAATATAATTTAAAGAGATAAAGTCTGAAATAGCTTGTTCTGCAGATCTGAATAAAATTAGAAGCTGGGTTAGTAAAACATTATTTTGCTGAAAACATGAAAATATATTTCAGGTATCCAAAAACATGCATATATACGTAAATAAAAGTGTTGTGTACTTACTTTAAAGGTCTGGGTTGTATAGACATACATACACACATTATTTTTCAGATGTATGTGTATACACACACTACATTCATAATGCATGCATTACGCATTATTTTGAACTGTTAGTAAGCTGTTACAGCGCTTACCATGATTCAATATCTGAATGAAATTAATGCATTGCCATATTAGTAGGCCAGGAATGTAAGAAAAAATAGCTATGACTTCAGCCATGGGTAGAGGAACAAAGGAATTTTTTGAATCTCTAGTCACAATATAACTTAATGCAAATCAAATGCATTGTATATAGCTGCACTGCATTACACAAAATGACATTCTTAATGTAACACATGCATAACATCTGAGAAGCAAGAAACAGCTTTTCTCTCTTATTATTATTCTTCAGAATTAAAATCTGACAGTCAAATATGCCCACAACCTCAAAAACAGGATGGCAAAAATATTGTGTTTAGGCCCATGGACTATCTATGTGAGTAAGCCAAACAGGATATGGCTTTTCTCAGTATTTTTGGTCTTAAATGTTCAATAATCTATAAACCTAAATACATATTAATGATTCCAAAAGAAGTAGCAGATTAACAAATAAATACAACTATATGCCTAGATCCTGCACAGGAATAACTTTATGAATGTAATCAGTTCCTAATCCAATGGGATTGCTCAGACCCATAAGATTACTAGCACATGTGAAAGTTTACACTAGCCCTGATCCTGCAATTTCATGCAATGAAATCTGAATGAATGCCAAAAGACCTCTCTTCCCCACCCTACTAGGTCTATCTATGCAAATTAATGTATTTTAAACCTGGCAGATCCTAATACACTCATAAGAAAGCATTTCAGATTTCTTGTCTCTTAGATGACCTTTGGGGGGGACGGGGACTGTTTGGATATTATAAATAAAATAAAATAACACAGAAGGGTAATTTGTGCTTGGAGATACATGCACAGCAGTCAGGTCACTAGTTGCTTGGTAACCAGCATGAAGCATATTAGAATTAGAAGGATTCAAATTAATGAATGATAAGCACCGTTGGCATCCGTTTCATGGGGAGAAGGGAGGGATTGTCACTAATATGTTTAAAATCACAGATTTTCCCCCTAACCTCAGTAGTCTTCATTATGTATCATCTGTGTAGCATTTGTGATATCCTTTTGTCAGCATTCATTTTTTTAAAAATGCAGTCATTTCAAATAAAGCTTCTTAAAAGACTTTTTTCACACACAAAAAAAATCAAAAACCAATTATGAATGTGGGGTGAAACAGCACAGTACTAAAAACTGACCAAGTAGTTTAGATTTCTGAACAGCATGCTGGTTTAACCTAAAGGAGAAGCAGAACCTTGATTTCCATGAGCTACAGAGAAGGAAAAAGGAGGAGGAAGGAAGTAATATTAACCTATGCCATATTATCCTTAATATTACATAATCTGAATTAGTTTACGTAAAAAGCTATGTCTCATATCATGCTTAGCAGCTATGCTAGACTGGAAATAAGAAACAAATGCTATTTGTTACTCATTGAAGAGAAATGATTCACCTGTGAACTTCTATCATATTCTTATGCCATTTCCACGCAGAAAATTAAATTACAACCTTCATACAAAACCAATAATTCATCTAAATCCTGGAGAAAACTTTGAATGCTGGTTTGCTGCACACATACTGGCAGATGCTAGCAGCCCCCACAAACACTTCTGAACAGCCCCCAGAAGTACTTTGCAGTGATGGGGCTGAGGAATGCAGCCCAGGAATGATGTTTCCTCCAAACAATTTTTTTAAACTATTGTACATGCAGTTTAGTGCATCCCATACTCTGTGAAGTGTTCTTCAGAAGGGTCTTTATGAGTCCAGGATAAAAAAGTCATCACTGGCAGGAATGGACTAGTAACATTCCAAGATGGGAAAGGCAGCGAGAGTTTTTATCTATGTAAAATCTGACAACAGGTGTATTTTATTGTAACTGTTTTCCATTCAACTTTACATATTTCTGTTCACTATTTTTAAAATTATGTATTTGCCCCAGCCTTACTGCGTCCTTCTCACAGTCCACCTCTGCATGCGCACTCAGCTCTCTCTCTCTTACTCTTCCTCCCTCCCAGCTTAACTTCACCCACTCCACTAGGCACTCACTCATCCCTTTTTCTGGCTAGTGCATCTGCAACATATCTTGAAGGGAAGGGGCATACTAGGCTGGGTACCTTTCACAGTCTTCAAAGGCTAGGAAATTTGTTTTTCTCCTTCTTTGGCTGGATTAAAAAGCTGATCGAGCAAAGAGGATCTTTGCTTTCTCTCGAGATCATCTCTTTTCCTCCTGAGGCCTAGAAAGGAACCTCTCAGTGCAAGGGATTCTTGCTCTACAGTGGAGATCAGGTACGCCATAGGAAGCACATGGGAGCTGGGCCTCTGCCTCATCCTGGCTGGATAGCAAGGTGAATGGTAAGGCCCATCTTTGTAGCTGGGAGCCAGGAGGCATTGAAAGGGGGAGTTGGCCTATGCAGGTTGCTGCTGGGAATGCCTGCTGAGATTCTTCATACAGTAGAACTTCAGAGTTACGAACACCAGAGAGTTACAAACTGACCAGTCAACCACACCCCTCATTTGAAACTGGAAGTACACAATCAGGCAGCAGCAGAGACGGGAAAAAAAAGCAAATACAGTACAGTACTGTGTTAAATGTAAACTATTAAAAAAAGAGGGAAAGCAGCATTTTTCTTCTGAATAGTAAAGTTTAAAAGCTGTATTAAGTCAATGTTCAGTTGTAAATGTTTGAAAGAACAACCATAACGTTTTGTTCAGAGTTACGAACATTTCAGAGTTACGAACAACCTCAATTCCCGAGGTGTTCGGAACTCTGAGATTCTACTGTAACTGAAATCAGCAGCATGGAGCAGAAGTCAACAGGGTGCTATTTCTATGTCTTGTCCCATCATACTTTGTGCTCCTTATACACCGGTAGCCAACAGATGGGCATTGGTTCCAGGACACAGTCAGTGCGCTTGCAAGCAAGGGGGAGCTGACCAGCCCTTTAGTTCAAGAAAATAACTAGCTCATTAGCTTCGTAATCCAGACTTGAGTGCATATAACTGACAGTGGATGGTACGTTCAAAGGCCCTGAGTGACAGAGGAGAACAACTTCTTTTGAAAGTCAGTGGGACTTGGTGACTTTGGAGCCTTTGAAAATCTTGGTGATTTGGGAGCCTAAGTGACTTAGGATCCTTTGAAAATCTCACCCTGCTTGCTTAACTGGAGAAAGGTGCTCAGTGGTGTGATTATTTAGCATCACATAACATCTGTCCAGAATCAAAACCTTTTAAAATCCACCTAGATGAACAACCGTACAGAAAAATGTTTGGTTCTCTTGCCGCATAAGTATTATGCTACAGACTGTACAAAGTTACTAAAAGCAGGAGAAGGGCTAATATTTATTTAAAGGCTATCTACTTATAATAAAGAATCATCGTGAATATACTTACAGGTCTCATTCAGCAGAAGCTGAAGGGATACGAGATCACAAGAGGTTTATAGCTATTCTCTAGCACTGTCCTTTATGATTATAATTTGTGACAAAACTCCAAGGAAGACAATTAAGAGGATCTTACCCCCATCTAAACTGCGAGACATAGTATAACGTTTGCTGGAAGAACGCTCAAAGTAAGGTGCAGGACGGTCTATTAGTGCACTGGCTCGTCTGGTTTGGGCTTGTGTTCTTCCACTGTAGCGGAATTTGGAACCCAGTGTAAGGAATTTCTTTGGCGGTGCCTCCGGTAACAATAGCCTAATACACACAGAACAGTAAAAATATTATTCCACACACAAAGAATTTATTTTGTGGATAAAAAAAAGTAAAATGTTGTGTATCTTTACCTATCTTAATCTGTGTTCTGTCAACCTCTGTGTAACGGGAAACATAGAGCATGCCCTCGACACTGGCTAAGTAATTTGTAATGGTATACAGAAAGGCTGAGTTTTTCACAAAAAGTCTATATGGGGAAAATGAGGTTATTTAATGAATGAATCTCTTATTAAAATAAAGAGAGACACCTCAGCACTGTTTTTTTCTAATCATCAAAAAGAGAAACAAAGATTCAATGTTCTTGTGGACTGTCAGTTATGCTGCTTGAAGCCAGGATAAGGCCCTTGCCTACATTTGAGGTTTTTGTTGATACAGCTACACTGGAGACTGGCCATCGATCCTTGCAGTCAGGCCAGATTCTCAATGTACACAAGGCCCTACATGCATACAGGTGTTCGAATTTTTGAAGTTGGGGCCCCCTGTACTCTACAATTACACAGGTAGTGGGATTTGCTCTTTCCCCTTCTTACCATGGAGTCGTACTGCAAAAACTAACCTTCCTGTGGGGGAGGGGAGTAATGTATTTTTACTCCATGTGATTGCAAAGAAAACTTTCCAAATGTGAACCAAATGTAATCAACAGGATGGATAAAAAAAATCGATGACTTAAAATTTATTTTTTTTTGTAATTTAAATTGGAATTTTTACATTTAAATTAAATACGGGTTTATTTTTAAATAATAAACCAATTTTAAATTAAATTAGAAGTTCACAACCTATGTTAAAGCCCAAACTTACTGTATTATAGCACCTAGTGGAATTAGATGATTTTCAATGGGAACTGGATGCATTTGGTGCCTTTGAAAATCCCACTCTCATAGGTAAACATTACTAAATATCCCATTGCTTATTACCTTAGTAAAAACATCCAGCTAGTGTTTTTCTTCCACTTTCCCAACCTGTCTCTCAGGCATTTTTGGGTGACAAAAGCCTGGCTGTATCTTCACAGCTGCTAAATCCCTCAGATGCCCAAGGCACATTAAATAATGAAAATTATGGGATGGATAAAATAAGTTGATTCAAACATCTACATATGTATCCCAAGAATCATGATTGAATTCTGCAGTTTCATATTTAAATCAACCAAAATCTCATTTTTTAAAATTTTTATTCAAGTCTACCAAAAATTTTCCAGTTGCCACACAAGTTGTGTGTGTGTGTGTGTGTGTGTGTGTGTGTGTGTGTGTGAGAAAGAGAATGGGTACAGAAATTATGGGACAAATTTCCAATCAGCCCATTAACTGTAGGTGTTAGACAAACATTAACTGATAACATCATTGTGCATATGAAATGAAAAATATCAAGCTGGCAATCAAAATCATGTGATATTTTAAAGTCCAATTAAGGACCAGCCACAGTTGGAATAATTTTGGTGAAGCATTACAAATACTTTGGGAATAGTAATCTTTCCAAATATGGTTCCAGTTCAGCGATCAGAGAGTAATAATTTGATCCCACGTCATTTGGCTGTATTAGCACAATTGTTTTTTTTTTTTTTTTTTTTTTGGGGCAGGCTTTATTCTAAACCTTTAGGAAGGAAACCCCACATACCTGAAAAATGTGTGGTGTTCAACACATACTTTCCATAAACGCTTTGCAGCACGATGATTTGGCAACTTAAACCCAATAGTGCTTTCAAACTGTTCAAACTAGGTAGAAAGAAAGAAAAACTGAGTAGTTCTAGATTTATATAGATTCAAAGGCCAGAAGGGACCACTATCGTCATTTAGCCTGACCTCCTACATAACACAGGCCATAGCACTTCCCTGAATTAATTCCTTTTGGAAATAGAGTGTCTCTTTTACAAAAACATCCAACCTTGATTAAAAAAATTGCCACCACAACCCCTGGTAAGTTGTTCCACTGGTCAATTACCCTCATTGTTAAAATTTTTCACGTTATTTCCAAATCTGAATTTGTCTAGCTTCACTTCCAGCCATTCCTTTCTCTGCTAATTTGAAGAGCCCATTATCAAATATTTGTTCCCTGTGTGAGTATTTATAGAGTGTAATCAAACCACCCTTTAACCTTCTCTTTGTTAAGCTAAACAGATTGAGCTACTTGAGTCTATCGCTATAAAGCATGTTTTCTAATAATAGAATCATAGGACTGGAAGGGACCTTGAGAGGTCATCTAGTCCAGTCCCCTGCACTCAAGGCAGGACTAAGTATTATCTAGACCATTTTCTAACCCGCTCCTAAAAATCTCCAGTGACAGAGATTCCACAGCCTCCCTAGGCAATTTATTCCAGTGCTTAACTACCCTGACAGTTAGGAAGTTTTTCCTAAAGTACAACCTAAACCATCCTTACTGCAATTTAAGCCCATTACTTCCTGTCCTATCCTCAGAGGTTAACAAGAACAATTTACCACCCTCCTCCTTGTAACAACCTTTTATATACTTGAAAATGTTATCATGCCCCCGCCCCCCCCACAGTCTCCTCTTCTCCAGACTAAACAAACCCATTTTTTCCCAATCTTCCCTCATAGGTCATGTTTTCTAGACCTTTAATCATTTTTGTTGCTCTTCTCTGGACTTTCTTCAATTTGTCCACTTCTTTCCCAAAATGTGGTGCCCAGAACTGGACACAATACTCCAATTGAGGCCTAATCAGCACAGAGTAGAGAAGAATTACTTCTTATGTCTTGCTTACAACATTCCTGCTCATACATCTATAACGGGGCATACTCACCTCTCGTGAGTCCCCCCGCACTCCGGCCAAGTGTGTGTGCCTGTACTCTCTGTGGTGTCTCTTTGATGACTCAGCCCTCCAGCCGAGTCACACACAGTCTGTCTGTGTGTTAAAAGCAAAGCAAATCCCTTCCGGGGTACAAGTCCAACAGGGTCCTCTCTCAGTGCCCTCAGTAATGCCTCAGTTTGTCCCTGCTCCGGAATAGAACGGTGTCCCAGGGCTCCTTCCCTGGAGGCAATGTCTTTGCCCTCTCAGGACCTTTCTGGCCCCGGCTCTTCAGTTGGGCTTCTACAGTTCAGTTCCCCCTCTGGGGTACCTCCGTGTCTAGGCCACTTCCCCCAATGACTAATGGGGAGCTTGGGGGAACTGGGGACCACCCACTACTCCAGGTCCCAGCCCAGGAACCCTGTAGTTAGCCGCTGTCCCTGTGTCTCTTTATCTCAGGCTTCATCTACACTACAGATGGGATCAACACTCTGAGATCGATCCACCGGCGGTTGATTTAGCAGGTCTAGTGAAGACCCACCAAATCGATAGCAGATCGCTCTCCAGTCGACCCCTGTACTCTGCCCCCAACAAGAAGAGTCAAGTAAGTCAACGGGAGAGTTTCTCCAGTCGACCCCCCGTGGTGTAGACCCTGAGGCAACTCAACCAAGGTACATCGACTCCAGCTACATGAATAATGTAGCTGGAGTTGCGTAGCGTAGGTCGACTTACTGCGGTAGTGTAGACATAGCCTAAGTCATGCTACTGCTCGAATTCCCTGGGCCACTTCCCCATGGCCCCATGTCATCTTCACCTTACCTCAGGGACTTGTCCTGATGGAGTCCCTGCAACCAGCTCAGGGATCCTTTGCACCCTCACTGGCTTCTGGCAGCACTACCTAATCCAAGGTCGTGCAGCTCCCTCAGCCAGAACACACCATGCACACTCCTCCAGTTCTAGCAAGGAACTGAACCTCACTCTTGCCCTGCATCTCTTCTCATACTGACCCGCTGGGCCCTGATTGGCTGCTTCCCACACAGCTGCTCTAGACAGTCTGGAGAACCTCTCTACTGGCCTTTTCTGGGGTGGAGTGTGGCAGGGTCACAAAGCCTCCAGCAGGGGGCCTCAGGGCCTAATCCACCCCTTCACAACATCCCAGAATTATGTTTGCTTTTTTTTGCAACAGTGTTACACTGTTGATTTATATTTAGCTTGTGATCCACTATGACCCCTAGATCCCTTTCCGCAGTACTCCTTCCTAGGCAGTCATTTCCCATTTTGTACGTGTGCAACTGATTGTTCTTTCTTAAGTGGGGTACTTTGCATTTATCCTTATTGAATTTCATCCTGTTTACTTCAGACCATTTCTCCAGTTTGTCTAGATACAGTTTCATATTAATTTTCTCTACCTATATCATTTCATTACCCCATATGTACATACCTGCACATCTCTACAAATATATACACATACATTCTCCTGATTCCTGTCTTGAAATCCCAGTTTGGGTGATGATAGAATAGTTTGTTAGGACTCCAAATGAGGAGTGAGAGTTTATTGATTAAGATGGCTGCTCTATGCATTGTAGCACAGAACAGACTTTTAAAGAAAGGGCTTGGGAGATTTAGGAGAAAGAATTATGTGGTTAGTGCCTCTCAACTATTTGTTGCTCTAATGTTTTAACAACTTAACTGCGATGAGAAAACATTTGGATTTTCTGACAATAGCCTGAGGTGAGAAAGAGTCCCCTGAGACTGATTTAGGTTTCAGAGACCACTAGGATTAAGGAGGTATATAGGAAAGGAACTGGAGTTAGTAAATGAGAGTGGGAAGCATCTGTCTAATCTATCTCTATGGGGTTGAATATCTTCAGAAGCAAATGAGAAGGGCAGGTCATTGAAAGGGTTTGTGGTGGATGCTATGCATCCAATCAAACCACCAGAGGGCAGTCTTCATACAATAGTTCATAACACCTTCAAGCACTTCAGAAGATGAGTGCTGTAGATCTGAAACGACTAACATTCTTATGTACCAATATTACTGAAGGACAGATATTTTATTCCATTTATTTAGTATTCCAGGATATCTGTAAAGCTCTGAATGCGTGGCCTATGTGCTCCTCTGATTGGAAAGGGTGAACAGACCCCAGTTTAAACCATGTGTAATCTCTGACCAGCTACAGTGAGAAGCACCCGATAAATAAGTGTATTTACTAATATTTTATCAACATATTATTCACATTCACAAAATATTTATGACATGGTACATGAGAGTGTTATCTTTAAATGCAACAGGACAAATTCATCCTTCATGTTATTTCATGACCCAGAATGTATTTTAGACATATTTTAAATAAGGGATTTGCCTAATCTTTCCTAAAAAAGGGGAAAAAAATTCAATACATCTTAAAAATTTAGATGAAGAGTACTGATACAAACTTGTGAACAATGGCAAACAAACCAGTCCATGAGGTCACAAGGTACTTTGAATAAGTTTCTTTTACTAGTATATGTGTCAGGGTCTGCTTACCTCTCCTGGTCGGATTTTGATGTAGAAATTGTTCCTCTTGTATGAAATTTTCAGAACCTTTGGCCAGGCAAATCTATTTATCCTGAGTCTGTCTCGATATATTAAGAGACCACTGGCACAAACCCCTAACATGATTTCAACTCCTTCAGAATCCTGAAAAAGTAAGCAACATACTTTGCTGATTTCTTCTCTCCTTTTCCAAAGTTCCATAATTTTATATGTCATGTTCTTATCTGAGCTAGATATTTGAACTGTGTTAGCTGTGGTGACTCATTAGGTAACCTTAGCTTGCTTACTTATTCATATCTAAGCTGTAAGGTGCCATATTTAACAACATCATATACAAAGAAGATGACAGATTTTACCGAATGTTAAAAACTTCTCTGAAAGACTCCAAAAAGGAAAAAAAGATAGCATAAGAGGTTTAACTACATTGATAATTGCTTTGTTAAACAGTATTACCTCCCTAATGCTATAAGCACAACCATAAGACTGGGAGTGACGAGGGACATTTCTTTACTATCCTGTTTACTATATCCCTCATCATCATGATTGTTGGTCTTGTGCAGTTTCACATCTAGTTCTTCCCAAGGTTATTTACTTATGTAGTTGCACCTATGCCCAATACTCTTCTTTCCTCATTTCTCTGCAAGTGTAAATGAATTAGTAAATAGCAAAAAAAAAAAAAAAAAAAAAAAAAAAAAGCAGCATTTAGAATGGAATGGTTCCTTAAAGTCTTTGCTTATGGGGCTTGTGCTGTCACTCATTTTGCCTGAGAAACCAGGCTGCAGTTCACATTTCTCAGGACTTTAAGGTGTCAAAAGCACCCCTTTAGAAATCTTACAAAATAGTCTAAAAAACTATCTTTGCCATTTACTATTACAGATGCATGCAACTGGAAATTTGTAAAGGATTCATTTTTCATTATATTTGTTTCATCTAGCTTATTAAGTACCATCGGAAACAAAAAGGTTATCAAAGGTTAACAAAAAGCTTGGAGGCTTTTTAAAAACTATTTTAAAACAATTTTAAGTTAACAGCAATCTGACAACAGAACTTACAAAACTTTCATACTATGACAGTCATGAAATGAGTGAATTGGTTTCCTTTAGTCTCCTAGCAAATCATCTATTAAAGATATACTGAAAATCTGGCTGTATTTTAAGGTGAACCAAAAGACCAGAGGCATAGTTAATTTAGATGTAAAGGAAACGCACAATTTGAAAATTCTACTGCAATTCAAAAATTGCTCATGCTGAACTTTAAGGTGAGATATACAGCAAAGAACTAGACAGTGTGTAAAACGTACTGCACCATGAATGAGAGATCAATAAGAGATACAGCAATAATGTGTGTGGGGCCCTCAAAGGGGAATGACGTCTAAATAAAACTAGATTTCAGTGTTGGGATGTACTATCCAAAAATAAAATTTAGTGTCTGCAGTGTATTTCAATTTTTCATTTTTCTAAGAACAAAGAAATGTTTAAACGTACTGAGCCATATTTTCAAAAATAAAGGCTTGAGGTCCATATGCAAAATGCACGCACAAAGTCCCAGATGCAAGGGACTATTTCATATTACCTGTTTAAGAAAAGATTTCTTTCCTGAACTTTAACCTTTGTACCAGTTATACCTGCTTTCAGGCCCAGATCCTGCCACCTCTATTCCCCAAGCAGTCCTGCTGATTTAAATGGGAGTACTTGAGAAAGCAGGTATTACTCAATGTAAGAGTGGCAGACTCTGGCTCTTAGTATATGGGTGAAGAGACTATCCAAGGCAGCTCTAAAGAGCAGCAAGGTCGTAGCCACACTGGAGAATACATTACACATACTTGTACAGTTTTGCATATGTAGGCGATTTACATAATTATCAAAATATTAATTCCCATTTATAAACACAACTGTCAGTCCAGTTTTCAAGGAGTGTGCTTAATCCAGGAACAGAATAATTAACTTAGTGACTGTCTGCAGCCTTCAGCTCATTGATGCAGGTTTTATTATGATATCTTCTCTAGACAGTAAGCAGCTTTGATATAAATACACATCAACTTCACTGAAAGTTTTGCCCTGATCCTTTTTGTTTTTCATTCTCTGTCAGATAAAACTGGGTAACAAGGTCTTTGTTGCACAGAATAGGTTACTCCAATAGTTGTACTCTTCTAGTTACCAGCATTTCTCCAGCATTACATAATTTTTTTGAGAGAATAACTAGGCCCTATTGCAAAGTAACTAACTTTTGGTATCAAAGACCAAAACATATTTTGCACAAAAACTCACAAATGTTCTTTGTTGATCTCCCTCTGAGGGATGGAGGATGTTAAAATACTACAAAGAAAGGAGTGACATTTCCTATTCCAGTTCTAGCTTTGCTCCAAACGTGCCTCAAGATCTTGCGCATACATGCAAGAGACAAGAAAAGCAACAGCATGCCTATTGGGAGAACGCTGTCCACTGAGCCATAGACAGCGTTTTCATTTCAGTGTAGGCAATTAATAGACTACAAAGGATTACCTTGAAGTCTGTAATACACATACACAGTTCCTATGAAATGCCTCATGCACATGGATGAAGGCCCTTTCAAGATCCAAGCAGCATATTTATCTCAGCTGTTGAAAGGTTCTGATGCAGAATGAAAATGGCTCTACAGTAATTTGACCCTTCACAAAAAATGTGGTGCTCTTCCAAAGCTCTGGTCTTTTGTCCAGCATCAATTTGCCAAGGACATTTACTGACTTCACTCTACAGTTGCTGGAATCAATGAATCTTTTTCTGAATAGTGAAACTGAAAAATTAAAAAACAACCCCCCCACAAGACTACGAAATGACTGGAGATCTCTCATCAACCACACTGAGTGAGTACCTCTTGATCTGTGAATGTACCTAAGCTAACTGATGATTTTAGAGACAGTTTCATCATGGGAGATTGATTCCAAGAGAGTTCCTATTCATTGGGCTAACTGAAACAAATACACTTCTTTCAATGAGAGCTAACCATCAGCCCCTTTATCACTACCAATCTGATTAAGTTCCAGTATGGTTAACAAAGTGCTTCAAAAGACTTTTGCAGTGTTAGAAGTGGTCTGCTTGTCTAGATAAAACATCATAATTGACTTTATTAAATTGGAAAATTCAGCTGAATGAAATGACAATCAATCATTGTCTGGATGTCTTCTGATAAAAATGCATATTTTTCAAACAAATCCAGTCAATAGCTTTGAGGCTCAATACATTAACTGTTTCTCAGATCACAGCTTTCAAAAAAGATTTGTTTGTTTAATCAGCTTCACAGACTTTTTGAAACATGCGTACCAACAGTTGATGGAACTGGAATCAACTAGTTAAATTCTGCAACAACTACAAAATGTAGCTGCGTTTACATCATGACACACTAATCACTTTGGGCCTATTTCTGCGACTTTTGCTCACCTTGAGTAGTTACTTAATCTAGAAGTTTTTCCACTGAAATCAGTAAGAAAAATGAAATCAACAGGACCTTCTGAAATAAAGTACTAGTCAAGCTGAGAAGGGGTATAGAAATGGGCCCCATAATATGAAACAAAGAGTTTTTAATCATAGTCCAGACCTTGGCATGATGTAGATCCACTCCATACATGGATAGTTTTTTGGCATTCTCCAAGAAATGCATCTCAGCCTCTGCAGGTGTCATTCCCCTGAAGAAAAACAGTCATTACTAGTATCAGTTTTGAGCAAGAATAATATGGAATAAACTTCGGTACATGGGAAACACATTCTGTCAGAATTTAGCTAGAAGCCATTACACACTTTGCATCATTATCTTCCATGCTAAAGAACATTTTTTTCCTAGCAAAACAGTCTCACTCCTCCAAAAGACCTGTGCAGAACTGTTAGTTCCCTCAAAATATTTTGCAGCAGATTCTAATATTTCACATGGAGGATGCTCAAGCTCCAAAGTTGAGTGGAAGCTGAATGGAGGTCCGCTGCTCACCTGTGGCTCTTGTGCAGCTCGATTACTTTGTCTTCCAGTTCTTTAGTATGATTTGGTGCAAACCGGAATTCACTGACATAATCACTTCCATACTCATCAGGATCATAATCTCCAAGTTCCGACTGAACGGTATAGGACCCCAAAAGAGCAAGAGTAACAAAAGAACAAGGCAGCCTTCCAGACACTATGTCATCTCTCAGCTGCAAGCAGAGGTAGTACCTACAATAAATAAGAGCAAGAGTTTATAGGAGTTCTTCCAGCACTTTTAGAGAAGTGATGTGGTTCAGTCATTAGTAAGAATTTCTGGGGTCTTTTCCTGACTCTGCCACTGACAGTCCTTGAGCAAAACACCCAATTTACGCCCAAGTTCCTCCATGTGTAAAACTGGGATAAATGCTTGCCTATGTAACAAATGAGTGCTAACTCTTAAATAACTAATCTTCGTAAAGCACTTTGAGATTCATTGATGAAATAGGCTACTCTCTGTGTTTTATAACTATAATATAAGTCAGGAGTTCTCAAACTTTTTCTTTCTGAGGCCCCCCAATATGCTATAAAAACTCCCCGGCCCAGCTGTGACGCAACAACTGTTTTTCTGCATATAAAAACCTGGGCTGGTGTTAGGAGATAGCAAGTAGGGCAATTGCCTGCGGCCCCAAACCACAGGAGGCATCGCGAAGCTAAGTTGCTCAGGCTTCAGCTTCAGCACCGGGTGGTGGGGTCTGTGGTCCCGGGCTGCAGTTCCACGTGGCAGGGCTTTGGCTTTCTGCCCAGGACCCTAGAGAGTCTAATGCCAGCCATGCTTGGCGGACCCCCTGAAACCTGCTCATGGCCCCACAGGGTTGGGAACCTCTGGTATAAGTTACAGAGAAAATTCCCCATTCGATATTAACTATACTAAGGTATCTACTGTCATACAGATATCCTGAGCAATTCATTCTTATTTGATTTATAATTTTCAGTAATAAGCACTTTAGAAATATCAGTTAATTGATTAGCTAAAAAGCAAAAACAACAAATGACAACTTCCCATAAGGGTAGCTATGCTGCTAAAAATGATCCCATTAATAATGCAATGTGAGGGCCAGATAGAAGAAACTGAAAATAGTTTCAGAGGAACTAGAAAGGAAGGGTGGTTTAGTGGCTAAGGCACAGAACAGGGAGAAAATCCTGACCCTACTACAGATTTACAGCGAGACCTTGGGCAAATTGCTTAATCTCTGTATCTGAATCCCCATATGTATGATGGGGATCATAAGTCTTCCTTTCTCCCACCCTTTGCCTGTATTGCCTAGTTAGATTGTAAATTCTGAGCCGGCGTCTACCTCTCATATATTTCCACGCAGTGCCTAGCACGATGGGGCCCCAATCTCATCTGCTAGATGCTAACACCAAGCAGCAAGGGGTTGAAGGCTCAATGGCAAGAGTGAGCAGGGTACTAGAGCACGGACTTCAACCCGAGCCCAGAAGTCCACACAGCAATGAAACAGCCCTGCAGCCTTTGCCCTGTGAGCCCGAGTATGCTGTGTAGACATACTCAGAGAAACTCTAGAAGGCACTGGAGGAGTGGGCCATGCTGACTCTAATCTTCCTCTGCAGCCCCCTCTTCCTCCTGGGGAAAGAGGGAAGATGCTGTTGCCAACTACTGGCAATTTATTACCACTGACCCGACTTTACCCTGTTAGAGCCAATCTCACTATGAAGGAAAAAACCTCAAGCCCTAGCCATTTTCAGTCCTGCCTATGGGAAAAAAGCCCTCTCTCACCAACCACCTTTTGGGGAAGAGCAGCCAATCAGAGCTGCTAAGGAGGCAGGCGGGCAACGTTTTCTCCCCTCCCCTCAGGAGCAGAGAGGAAACAGGCAATACCATTTGCGCAAGAGGGGGCCAGGGAGGCGGGAGCAGAGAGACCCCAGCCTCTCATTGTAGGATTGCTCCTTTCTCCCCCAACCCTCTCCTGTGAAAAGGGATTGGTTCCTCCCACCTCTGCTCCTCTCTAATGCTGCCGCACCAGGGCTAGCAATGGGGAGAACCTCCTCCACAGTTGCAGGAGGAGCAGCTGTGGAGCAAAGGAGGGTCAGAGTGAAGAATTGTTGTATGGTTGGGTGGATGGGGTTGATGTGGGTCTGGAGCAAATGTGATGGAAGGGTGGGGCAGAATTAATTGCTGTAGAGATGAGGTGGCTAAAATCGCATTTCTCCATGATGATGATGATGATGATGATGTGGGGGAGTTAAAAAAAAGTCAGAAAATAGCTCATAAACATTAAAGAATTGAATGATTTGGGGGCCAATCTCATGATTTTTTGGGGTCTGACTCGTGATTTTGGTGGTTGGCAACAGTGGTGTGAAAAAAGGGTAGTCTGAATTGGACAAAAGAAAAGTATAAGTTGCAAGTGAACAATCTGGTTAAAAACAAAAAGAGGATAGAGGTGAAACTAGGAAGTGTAAGATAGACGGGGAGAAACAGAGGGGGAGAAAAGTTTGTGCAAAATAATGGTTTACAGGGGAGCCACCGTTTTATATTTTGTTTGAGGCCCCATATTTCCCTGCAGCTCGGGGCCTTTCTACTTGTGTAAGTGAACATTGCAGCCTGGTGTCTTTTCCAAATCTCACAACAGCCCAGACTGCATGAGACTGGGATGCAGAATGCTTTAGACTGCACTGCATGAATGGGTTAAAAAGTCAGCAGAAGGGTGCTGCACCACTGGGACAGCCAGGGTCACTTAGCCCCAAGAGGTCCTTCACAGTGAGAAGGGACTACCAGAAATTAGGTTAGGCTAGGATCTAGTTCTGGACTTGGTTTTCAGGGTGAACCAAGGATAGGATTCAGATTCAAAGGCATCCTGAGCTGTTCTTGTGAAATTTTGGCCCCCCAAATGGCAGAAGTCTCATGAGACCAATTGATGTGAATTCTTGCTACTTTGGGCTGTATCCAAAAATAAAGCTGGGAATTAACCCACTTCTGGGGTTTGGATCAACCCTGAACCAAAACCATGGGAACAGGCTTAGAGCTGGGGATTTAAATTTGAAAACACATAATTGAGGGAAAGAGGTAAGTAATGTTTACTTTTGAAATCCTGGTTCATGTTCATGTCCAGTTTGATGATTATAGTTGTATTTGTGTCACACAGTGTCTAGAGGACCCAACAAAACACTAATAGGCAAGACTGGGTACTGCAATGTTTGTGAACTCTGAAGCTAGAATTAATTTTTCTCATTAGAAATACGTATTGAGAAAGCCTGATTTTGGTATCAGTTTATCAAATGTGAAAGTCTTCTAGTTTGAAAGTCAAAACAATGAATAAAAACCCCAACCTTTTCTCTACTGAGGCTAGGTCTACACTACAGCGGGGTTCCGACCTAAGATACGCAACTTCAGCTACGTGAATACCGTAGCTGAAGTTGCGTATTTTAGGTCGGCTTACCTGGCGGTGAGGATGGGGGAAAGCCGACCGCTGCCGCCGACTCCGCTGCCGCCTCTTGCCGAGGTGGATTTCTGGAGTCGACGGCAGAGCGATCAGGGATCGATTTTACCGCGTCCTCACGAGACGCGGTAAGTCGATCCCCGATAGACCGATTGCTACCCGCCGGATCGGCGGGTAGTGAAGACATACCCTAAGAGAACATCAAATATTTCCCATTAGCTCATAATTAGAAGGCGGCTGATAGTAAAACAAAAACATTCATGCTTCCAGACAGATAGAATGTCACTGCTGTCAAAAATGTGTTTAAAAGCACTTTTGGAAAGGAATTTATTGTTTCAAATACCTGGTAATATCTTCAGACAGCTGGGAAGGATCTGGAGGGTAAAATTTCACATTAAAGGAGAACTGCCAAGCACCACCTGAAAAAAACCCACAGTTTCACTGAAATTGCCTACACAAGTACAAATGAAGATGTTCACACTGTTAGGTTACTAGCAATCTAAAAGATAAATTAGGAAATATTCCAGTCAAATATTCAGTAATGACAGGATTTATATTCTTCTTCTTGTATACAATATTTAAGATACCTTCCTACTTTTCACAGTTACAGTTTGAGGCCTACAGTTCTTTTCTTGCATAGTGAACAGTAATTTATTTCTAATGCCCTGAAAATTGAGCAAGAAAAGAGTCTGTTTACTGAGATTAGATATATTAAAAGGTAGCCTATAGAAATAAAATAAAAAACAAAACAAAACGTGGAGATAAGCATTGGAAACACCACAGGCTAAAAATGAAAATGGGCTTTCAATATGTGACCACAATTATGTGCAAAATAGATCATTCTATTCTATAACCCCCCACTCAGCAGTGTCTGAATGCTGTTTTAGCACACACACTGTCTCTTTAGCCGGCATACATTATCATATAGACGAAATTGCAAGGACAAATTTAAAGACCATTAATGAAAAAAATGGACCCAAATTTTTAACACAAGGGAAACAATAATTGTAGTACTTTAGATAACTCATGTCACAGGCAATAACTTTACACATCTTATAAGACATTTTTAATAGGACCTTACTTTTCAAAACTATAGATAAAAAAATACCAAGAACATTCCAAAAAAATAGGGAAAATTTAAGGGGATAAGGATTCCTAGAAAACCGATGTCTCATGTTTAATAAATGGCACCGATAAAAAAGCCAAATGCTTGGCTAACTAGCAAGCAAAAAAACAAACAAACCACACACAACTCCCCCCCCCTCCACCTCTGGTAAAGCCTATCAGCAACCAAGATTCTGTTGCATTAATTACATAGCTCTTCACCTATATTACTACTACAGAGACCCCATATTAATTGATCACCCCCCTGCACACAACCAATATCTGAGGTGACATTACTGTGAGAATTGAGAAATGGACATCAAGATAACCTGATGCTTTTATTTTCTAAAATATGGTAACCTATTAAAATACAGCACTGAACTGAAAAATACACTTTAAAAAAAATGTCCAACACACTTGTATAATGATGGTTACAGATTCTTTGTGGGCACTATGTGAAATAGAACTCCTCTTTATAAACTCTACTGTGTATTCTAACACAACTAACAGGTATTTTGCACTGTCTAATTTGTGATGAACGTATGTTTTGAAGGTGTGTCAACTTCTACTACTGGATTTTATGCTGGATAGAAGAGAGGAAGTGTTAATGTCGACTATATTGCAAATAGCAACAGAGGGTCCTGTGGCACCTTTAAGACTAACAGAAGTATTGGGAGCATAAGCTTTCGTGGGTAAGAACCTCACTTCTTCAGATGCAAGAAGTGAGGTTCTTACCCACGAAAGCTTATGCTCCCAATACTTCTGTTAGTCTTAAAGGTGCCACAGGACTCCCTGTTGCTTTTAACAGATTCAGACTAACACGGCTACCCCTCTGATATATTGCAAATGCTACTTTTAAATTGCCTTAAAATTCCATATAGTTTTCTTGATCATGTATTTGGGACTGTTCATTTAGGGCCTACAATGAGATCTGTGTGGTTCATTCCTTGCCAAATGATTTCAGGGCCTTAAGAACTTCAGCTGTACAGAGCTCACTGCAGGATCAGGGCCTTAATTTGCTGAATCTATTGGAGAACATAGATTTCATATGCTAAAAGAGGTTGACATTTAATACAGAGGAAGATAGCCTCAAATCCTCTGTGAAATTTTTGGATACACACCCTTGTTTGAGAAAGAAGGGAGAGAGAAGATCCCCCTGACAAACAAGAAATAAATTAAATCCATATTGTGTGCCTCAGGAATATGATTCTGTAAGAAAAAATAAGTATAACAGGCCTGATTCTCCTCTTGCTTATGCTGGTTTCAATCAAGAATAACTCTATTGAAGTCCATGGTTTTAAACTGGTGTGAGGAGAATCAGACCCAGCAACTCTATAAACAGTGTTGGCCAAATTCTTTTCTCAAATACTGGCTTGGATTTCCTCCTGCCTGCAGTGGAACCGAGCAATCTTGAAAGCAGACATTTGTCCTATAGTCTCATCAGTATTCAATACAATTGTGGTTTTAATCATTCATGAAATAGATCACTTGTAAGATAGTTTTACTATTCCAAAGGTCTTAACAGAATTATCTGAACCAAGCAAATTAACACTGTCATCTATGACAACTCTAACTGTTCCCAGTGTCAACTGTAGGACTAGACTTTTCTGCCCTGGTTAGTCTCTTGCTGTCACAATCTTTCATTGTCTAGCTCTTAGCTAAAACACACATTAAATACATTGCAGTCAACTGTATGTAGTTGGACTGCCTTAATTGCATCAACAATCTACATAACTTGTTATCAAAGTCTACAGCACTTTCTTTTCCTGTGATAACTTTTCAGTATCCTATTAACAATTACACAATGGAACACAGATTTCAATTATTTTTCATTGCACTTCATTTTTAGATAGTATATATAATATCTAGGATAGTTTGGAAAAAGGTGAAGTTAATCATTATGAAAAATACTCTAAGGGAAATTTTCCACACTAAGTTTAAATTAATCCTTTGAATCTTGAAATGGTAACCTACTATTTTAGGGCCTGATCCTAGAAACACAAACTACCAGATATAATTCCTTGTAAATGCTAGTCTGCTGAAAGCGATTATTTATAAGATGTGTGGAGGAGAATACTGAAATTTTCTTGCCCAAATAAAATCACATTTATAAACATTACAACAGGTTTCCAAAGAGCTATTGGAGGAAAAGAAAGGTAGGTCACATTTTGAGCCTAGCAGTCTTGACACAGGGTCCCTTCAAAACATTTTTGGATTACTAACACAGCATACAGCTAAATTTAACAACTGAGCCTTTTAAAATATTCACATGAAGCAGAAAATTGATTCTCCTTGTGAAACAGTAAGTCATCTTAGGAACAAAGTTCAAGTTATTGGAGAAATGCAGGAACGAGATAAAGATGTTTTGGGTAGAGGGATATCTGTACTAACACAGTTACGTGTTTTGGTATGTAAGGCCAGCAGTGTTCCCAGACGTGACCCAAATGACAGTAATTCAAAGAAAACAATTTATATCTTGTGACCCAGGCCCCAAAGATTATAATGCTTAATGCTGAGTTTAGACTTTTCCCTCTCTGTAAATGTCAAGTTCTTTTTAGCAATGAGACATTTATATTTCATGATCCTGACCAATTGATTGATTTTGTTAGAGAGTAAAAAAAAGATGAAGAAAAACATCCAACAATTCTTCTTCTAAAGACTCAGAAACAGACCTGAATAAATAATATGAAACTTAACATTTGAGATGGGGCTTAATGATAAAAGTGATGTTTTCTCTTGAAGAGGGAGTGCAATATTCACAGAGACTTCGCCAACTACCTGCTGCTCCCCGCTATGCCTTCCCCATACAGTACCAGTCTTTGAGGCTGGGGAGGGTGAGGTTGGAGCTCAGGCCTGCAAGTGATTGGTAGGTTTGCACCCCACTAGTCATTCTAACTGGTAACTCAGGCCCAAGGGGTGAGGGCATTTCAAGAACCACATGTGTGGGTGAGGAATATTCCTGCTCCGCAGGCTGCCAGCCAGAGAGCTTCTCTTGCAGTGATCCACCCCTACACACTACATTGGACTGAAATCTCCCACTGAGGCAATATGTTATTTATGGCGCAGTTAAGTGGAGTTCAATTGTCCTTGTCCTCCACTCTTTCTGGGTCTCTGTGCCTTACAGCAGGTTAGATAGATTGTCATATTTGGGGTCAGGTCGTCCTCCACTTCCCTGCTTGGTCCAGCAGAGTCCTGATATAATTATAAACATGTGTTTTGGTGTAGGCAGATGATGTGGGTGGATGGGTAGCAATTTGTTATGGTGAGAAGTATTTATGATGTTTTTTGGATCTTTTAAGGGGGATATTATTTTTAATGTCCAAAAGGCACCCAGAGCACTGGGCGAGATAATAGCAGGTATATGGTGTGGGGCACTTCCAGTGAAGAGTTTAATTTCTCTCAGAAGGAGATGGCCATGGGGGACACACAGCTTGGAGAGAGAGTGAATCTTTTTTTGGGTAACCATTAGTTTGCTTGGTGGATATTTGTTGGGCAATAAATTAATAGTTAAGTACCAGGTTAACTTGATTAATAAATGAATTTGCATCTGGAGGCCTTAAACCATATGTGTTGTGTCAGTGTGCTTAGTAGGGTTCTACCTGGAAGATGATCTCTCAGTAGTTACTGCTGCTTTATATACAGTCACTTATATTGGCAATATGTTCTCTCAAGCTGGGAAAGTGTGTTAATGTGAAGCTCTTTTGTATGAGTATGTAGGACTTTTCTCACACCATTTATTACATGCAAACAATGTGAAATACCAGGGAAAGCAGCATTTCCAATTTTATAAAGAGCATTGTGAAGTTTTTTTCAATAAATGTTTTAATTTTGTTCAAAAGTATTTCATATTATCAACACTGCTCTCCTTATTAAAACATTTCCCAGATCTCCTCACACAGACACATGGTTGATTACAACTTACTTCGGATCTGCTTTTTGATTTCCTTTGCAGGGTCCAACCAGTTCTGAAAAGAAATTTTTTTTTTAATTTGACTAAAAATACAGTGAAAATTATTTTTAAACATTGATATTAACAGCACTGAAATGAGACAAAGTAACGTTAAATGTGTTCAGTGGCCTTTTAAAAACTCAGCAGCAGATGCCACATTTGTTGGCTAAATTAACTTCTTGCTCCATCTCTTTCCTTTGGAATACTGTAGCTACAGCAATTATTTTACGCTAATACATTTACTTGATTCCTTGCAGGGCCAGCTCCAGGCACCAGCTTAACAAGCAGGTGCTTGGGGCGGCCAAGGGAGAGGGACGGCACCTGCGGCAATTCGGGAGCGGCAGTTCCCTCACTCCCTCTAGGAGCGAAGGATCTGCCGCTGAACTGCCGCCACCGATCGCGGCTTTTTTTTTTCCCCCCCAATTGCCGCCGCCGATTGCAATTTTTTGTTTTTGGTTTTTTGCTTGGGGCGGCAGAAATGCTGGAGCCGGCCCTGATTCCTTGAAGGGTTTTGTTGTTGTCGTAAGAACTTCTTAGATCACAGGAACCTGCAGACTAGGTTAGAACACAGGCATCCTCTGGCAGCATGTCCAGTGACCTTTCATTAGCACACCAGGAGGCTCTTGTTTGCTTAAACCTTGAAAGGCTGGAGGGGCTGAAGAGTCTGGCCCTGCTTAAGTACATAAAGAGAAGGAAGAGGACATGAGCCTCTCCTCTATTTGTGCCCCAGTGCAGGAATCAGGCTTTAATCCATTGAGGTGTTCAGACATTGTCCCTTGCTAGAATTTCCTCCAGTGCTAGCTATCCAAAAGGGTGAGGTGTTCTGTGCAGTGCCATCATCCACACTGACCAGCAGAGCTTGTCAAGTATATGAGAGAACTGTACAAGACAGCTGTTGAAAGGATGGGGAACTGCCACTGCAGTGCATGCTTCCTGGCAGTCAAGGAAGACTGCCTCACAATTCCGTTTGGGATATCTTACTGCAGCATAGTATCACTTACCATTTCGGCAGGCGGCATGGTTTAAAATCCACAGTCTAGACTGCGTTGTACCTGTTTTTCTCTCTCAGATATTGGGAGGTTATGTCCCTGACCTTCAGCATTGTCTTAACCAATGCAAATTAATATTTAATATGTATATAGTTCATAACAAAAGCAGTTTGTTAATCCCCTAGGAAAAATTCCACTTTCTCCAAGGAAAGATAAACAAATATAGCAAAAACCAAAACCAAACAAACCCCAGAACAACCCTTGCACCTTACCCCGCCTTCCCTTAATCAGCTGGCAGCTGCCCAGAATCAATTAGTCTGAACTCCAAAGTATGAGGCTACAAGAGTACAATATGCCACTACAATTAAGATTCCCTCAGGGTTTCTTTTTAAAGCCCTGTTTTCAGATACTTGTAACTCAGGTAACTCAGATGGAAAAAATTGATGTGGATTCTTATATAGCATAAAGATCTTCAGCCTGGAAGATGTTTTTTCTATGTTGGGGGGAGGAGTGGGGGGGGGGAGGATGAACAAGCTGTTTTTACATTGTAAAATTTAAAAATATATGTAGAAATTAAAAATAAACTATTGCTCTGACACTATCATGTACATGTTTTTAAAATTAATTATTGACTTATTCTAGCCACTTTTGTACAGTAACTTGAGATCTATAAATGTTGAACATCATTATTATTAATAATCTGACAGGATTTCTAAATACATACTTATTTTGGCCCCACTTCAAGAAAGCATGACTGTTCAGGAAAGAATTTAAGCACATGCTTACCTTGAGCTTTAACTTAAAGTTAAGTACACACTTAAGTGCTTTCTTGAATCAGGATGGAACTAAGCACCTGTTTAATTGCTTTTTGCATCAGTGCCAAAATCCTCATTTTAAAAAGTCCATAAATATAGAAAGTAAGGGTTCTCACTAAGAGAGAAAACCATCACATACTTATATGAAAACCTGTTAGGGGACTCTTTTATAATATACATTTTAACCAAGACATCAAAAGGGAGTTAACAAAATACTTTAACGAAATATTTAGAGGGTCCTTTGCTGCTCCTCATCTCATCTTAATGTGTGTACAATGTATATGTTGCATGGATCTTAGATCATCATATCCCAGTACTAATTGAGCAATAATGCTCAGGTAAAGATAACATGAGTCTTGAAAGGGAATTAGCAGCAATAGTGAATTAACTTCTGCCTGTCTGTGTCACAACCTTAACATTAAATAAACTGTTTTTAGTATTAAATATATTTATGAATGTAAATCTGACTTTCAAGGCAGTATTGGAACAAACCATCCGAGAAAAGCTACATGATTAACTTCTCTTACATCATAAATAACCAGTGGTTTGAGCATTGGCATGCTAAACCCAGGGTTGCGAGTTCAATCCTTGAGGGGGCAATTTGGGGATTTAGTTGGGGATTGGTCCTGCTTTGAGCAGGGGGTTGGACTAGATGACCTCCTGAGGTCCCTTCCAACTCTAATAATCTATGATTCTAAGGCAAAAGGAAGACAGGAGAACATTGTTCCTGTTCTTGGGAGGCACAAACAATTAAAAAGGAGATGGCATTAAATAAAGATGCATCCTTTTCGAGGTAAGACTAAAACATCAGTTCTGGATTGATCACCGGGAAAAAAAAAATCTGATGGCCACATATCTTATCCCATGCAAACTCAAGATCAATGCCAGTTAGCAAGATTCCAGTTCTGTTGACTTTCATTCTACTTCCTTTTAATTCAAGAAAACCCTGGCTGATGTGTCTTTTTTACCTTTTGGTTTTCCATGTCTCTGTATGTTAGCCCAAAGTAGTCCTTTTCCAAAAGATTTAGATGTTCACATACTTTGTCAAACAATATTTGACCTCTGGAACGTTTCTATGGAAAACAAAAGAACATTTTCATCAATTTCAAAGTACAGCAACATTTAAATAAATCCTCTTCGGTATAATAAAGTTACAAAACCAATATTGATTTATCTTAACCTACACACCTTTCAAAACCATTGATTTGGAACTGTACAAAATCTGCTGAACTGGGCTAATTTGCCTCGGTAAAAATTCAGGTCTCAATGTGGAGTTAAAAATAAATCAATAGATGTAACATTCAAGTGGTAGCTTGGAAGGTTTCCTCTATCTCACAAATACTGGCACTTAATATATTCCGAGCTTACATTGCACTAGAACTATAGCCTTCTCTATATGCAACAGTAGTAACAAACATTGGTCCAAAATACTCCCCTAAGCGGGTTTGAAACCGGTGGATGATGGAGCAAAGGCATTTGTGTGGACTGGCTCCATGAAGTCCTTCTTTTATGTTTACGTATGGGGGTGGTCTGATTCAGCACCCACAGAAGTCAACAGAAAACTCCCATTACCATCACTGGGAGCTGGACTGGGTTAAGAAAGTGAAAGCGCAGGATTCTCCAGAATCCCACTGACATTTCTCAGCCCAGACCACCTCTATGAGAGGATAGCTAGTTTTTTATGCTCATTTAGAACCTGGCTATCTGCTGAGATTGTACCAGTTGTGGTGATGGTTTTGTTATATGGGTATATGCCCCTTACGAAGTACATTGAGTCCAAGAGAGCCATGAGTTTATAGCAACTTTCAAATGCTGTAATTCTGAGCCAGATAAAACTGGTGACCTGGAGGGAACAGTTTCTATTAATAAACAAACAGCTGAAGTAAAACTGTTACAATAGTGAGTGATATTACAGTTCAACAGGCAACACTGCTAGCAGCATGAAACCTAAATCAATCAAATTTAAGGTTTATCAATGAGTATTTTATTTATCGATGAGTATTTAAGCTGTATTATGCTGCGTGAGAGCCAGATTCTCTGAGGCACTAAAGTGTCTCCTGTAAACTGTTGAGCACGTGCACCTCCCATTGAGACTAATGGGAGTGGTAAATATTCCACACACAGCAGAAGACGTTCAGCAAATTTTGGGCTGGATCTTAAGAACTCAAATTATTTCCTACAGTTTCATTATTAGTAAAATTCAACATGTATATAAGCAGAATAGTAATACTTTAGTACTTGTTGATATTATTTTCATTAAAATAATGAACATGACTGAAGAGCACTGTAGATATTATTTCAGTCTACTTCTTATGACAGTAAATTGTGTTTTGACTAACACGGAGTAAATTCATTACAGTCTGTCACTCCACAAAAGCTGGCCATTTAAAGTCTCAAACTGTTTTAGATTTGTTTTAAGTAAAATCAAACAAATAAACAAATGTGGATGAAGGCTCTTGTACAATTCACCATCAAGTGTTTGAGAAAACATTTTGGAAATGGTAAGAGTAACTTGCACATTAACAACAACAAAGTAACACTTTACACTTACTTTACATTTTCTTCTTAAGATCTCAGGGCACTTAAAAAAAAGGTAGGAAAAAATTATTCCTGATGGGGAAATGAAATGTTAAAGTGACTTGTCCAAGAACACACAGGAAATCTGTAGGGCATAGACCACAGGGGCCAGCTCCATCGCTGGTGTAAATTGGAGTAACTCCATTTACTACTATGGAACTATGCCTGCCTATGCCGGCTGAGGATCTAGCCCCAGGGCATTGTACTAGTCACTTGTTTTAAACAGCGACAGAGTCCTATGGCACCTTATAGACTAACAGACGTATTGGAGCATGCTCCAATACGTCTGTTAGTCTATAAGGTGCCACAGGACTCTTTGTCGCTTTTTACAGATCCAGACCAACATGGCTACTCCTTTGATACTTGCTTTAAACACTAGATGAAATGAAGTGCTTGGCTATATAGCCACTGTTGCTATATACTGTCAAACAAATATTTAGTCTATTCCTCCAGCCAACAGATCCACTCTCCTAAAACCCAGAATTCAACAGATAATAAAAGTCGGCTGTTTTTTTCTTTAAGCTTTATATAGCTTTTTAATTACATCCAGAAGACAGAACCTACTACTGAGACACTGAGAAGAAAGGAAATCAAGACTTTCTAGCAGAAATCTGAAAACTATTTGGTTTGAAACAGTAGACAACAACAGTTTTTCTCCACACTGTTGCTTTACTTTTTAATATCAATCTAAATGACTAGATCTCTGTATGGGAGTAAGTGGTGGATTTAAATCTACAAACATTTGTCTTAAGAAAAATAATATGACACAACTGTTATATTTACATGTATTTGCATTATGACAGCTCAGTGTCCTGTCATTTAAAAGTCATGCAAGGTGTCAAGGCTGATTCCCCACTCTGGCACTTTGAGTGCAGAAGGTGGGGGCCTGCAAGGATTCTAAAAATTAATACTGGCCACTCTAGGCTTGTATTAAACTCCCAAGGTTACAGCTTTTCTCTGACGTTGGATGGGTAGATGCTGCCACCACTCAAGTGCAGAACCCCTTTGAGAGCCCAGGAAGGTGCACTTGGGAGTTCTTTCCTGTGGTGTACCCTCAAGCCCTTTCACCCCCCTTCCGGGGAAGAGCTGAGAAAGAAAAAAAGAAGGAAATCAGCTGTTGCCATCAGCTAATTAAACACCATGTGCACAAACCTCTTAAGACACAAAAATCCAATTCTGTTCTTAAAAAAGGTAAACTGTATTTTCTTTCTTTTTTTTATTAATAAATCTGGGAACTCAGGCTATTGCTAGATTTTATAAGAGCAATACAAGGATTAAGCACCAAGAATAGATTTCTTGAGGTTAAAGGTTAAAGGTTAAAAGCAAAACAAAAGCACCTGGGCTTAGCACAGAGGAGTCCACAAGCCATAAAGAAATAAAAGGGATAAACCTAATCGCGTCTTCCTAGACATTCCCTGATCTACTTGCATATCTGGGGTTTTAAATGAGTAGTTTCTAGGTATGATACCGAGGATTTTTCATACCTGGCCCAAAGCTTCTTACAGTATAACTGCTGCCCTGTCCCCTCTCCAGCAGGTAGAGCCACCACAGACAGACAAAAGGGGAGTCTTTGTTCAATTTTAAGAAGTTCTAGGCTTCCCATTGGCTCTTTTTGCCAGGTGCCTACTCACTTCCTTTTACCTATGCATAGCAGTGAGACTTTTTAACCCTTTAGAGGCAGAGCAATTAGAGAACAGCTACAAAGAGGGATTTTATAGCTACTGGCTGGCTAGGTGTCCATAAAAGGGAGATACCCCCATCTCCTTTCATTTATCACACAAGGTCAAAACTGAAGCTGTTTCAGCTGGAGGATCCATGCAGTTGCAGCTTTGACAAATAATACAGAGCAGCTGCAAGTTAAGGTATTTTAAAGAAGATGTGTGTGAATGGAAATTGCCTTTAATGTGTAGCTATATTGTACAATAAGCATAAAAATAAGGCAGCTAAGGTACTGTTAAAGACCAAATGTGATCTCTAATCACTTTTATTATTGAAGTGTCACCCAAAAGCCCGGATCAGGGTCCCACTGTGCTCAGTGGGTATAGGTGATGAAGGTAAGAGCAATAAGTTTGGCTAGCTGTGTGCAAAATTGGACGGTTCTTGTTTTAGCTGTTATAAAATGCTCTCTACTTTCTCTAGCCTTTTTTTTTGTGTGTGTGCAGATATCCTATACCTACTCAGGAAATCTCCACAGCATTGTAGCTGCATCGGAACAGAATATGGCAAAATCTGCTTCTTGTTACTCTGGCAGCTGCTAAAAAGGATGCTGGAGAGTGATATGTACTACTGCAGGGAACCTTCTTATCCCAGTGCATCTGATGTAAACCTGTGATGAGGAGGTGGCTAAGGGAGGGGCCTTGCTGGGCTGACATTCCTACCTTCCCATCACATCAGTGCCTGTTGGTATTAGGATAGATGAGCTTCATATGTCAAACCCTTCCATTGCCCCTTAGTGCCACAATCAGATCTTAAGGAGTCGCTGTAAATTATCTCATGCTATATGTCTGGGTACTTATATGGCCCTTGTTATACAGTATATGAATGAGTTCTGGAAGAGGTGCCACCACCTATGTCAGAGACCTCCTGCTGCAAACAGCAAGAAAAGAGAAAAGAAGACACATGCTTCCCACCCACAAGCCACAGCCAAAGAATTTGTGCAGATTTGCATAATTGTTCATATATTTCCAAAAATTCCTGTATACATTAGGGCTGGCCATAAAACAAGAACCCTGTTTAATAAAAAATGTTGCACTTTTGAAATCTGTTTTTGTTCCACACAGGAATGAAAACAATACCTTTCAAACTTGTCTTATAAATAAAAAAAAAAAAAAAAAAAACCACAACACAACAAACCCATGAGAGAGAGAGACACTCCAGAATAGCCAAGGGGTTATGCACTCAACTGGGATGTGGGAGACCCAGGTTCAAATTCTTGTCTGATTTAGAGTTGATATATGAACTTGGGTCTCACACTGCAGGTGACTGCCCTAACCACCAGGCAGGACACACACCTTCTCCCCTCCTCTCTTCCTCCTTGTTCCCCCATACCATGGGCCTGAGAAACCTCACTGATGAAAACGTCATTGGGAAAAAAAAACATTTCACTGACAAATTCCCAACCAGTTCTAGTATACAAACACCATTAGAGATGTGCACCTTCCCATTTGAAAATTATGCTAATGTGGGGAGATAATTGCATATATAGATGGGATACAGTGTTTTAGTTACGTGCCATATATCAATGAAACAAATAAATAAATAAAACTTCCAGTCCATTATTAATTAATATTATTTTGCAGTGCCCAAAAGGTGTGGTAGGCACATTACAGCACAGATAAGACATGGTCTTGCCCCTTAAGAGGGATAACAAACTGGAGGAGAAGAGAGAGGAGGAATGACAGTGGGTACAGCAACAAGATCACAAAGCTTCTCAGTTTATGCCATAATCTAATATGATGCCTATCATCTATTCCCTGGTGATAAGCCCTAAGAAGTA